ACTGCCTCCCCCTTCGTCGGCCATTTCTCAAGGGCCGCTGCGCGCTGCGCCGACCTGCCATCTTCCTGCCCCGCCCGTTCGCGCTTCCTTAACTTTCTTATCTAATTTATTGACAGCAGCTGACAGGGCCGTCCTCGCGCTAAGAGATTGCCTCGGCGGCTGCCGGGGCTGCCTTGGCTGCTTGGGCCCGACCCGAGGCGAGGCCCCACGGCCCGGCCGCGCTGCCGAATGCAAGCCTCTGCTCGGCCTACTCCGCGCTCACTGGGGCAGCGGGGAGACCTCCGCCTCAGAGGTCGGCTCGTGAGGAAGCACAAAAGCAACTTAGCTCCACTGCGCTGAAAAAGAGGGGGAAGAGGAAGGAGAAGAAGGTCCACCGCGAAACCGCGTGGATAATTGTCCCGACAGTATCTCGTCGGTCCAAGTTTCGCGGTGGAAAGGAACTTCTCCTTGTCCTCCCCCGAGTTTCGGCTTCTTGATTCGTCGCCGCCGCGCCCCGCCGCGCCCCGCCCTACCCGGCAGCCCCCAGGGCGTGGCGTGGCGGCGCGCAGCTCGACCGTTAGCGCGTTGCTCTCAGCGAGATTATCGCAGTGAGCTAATATTGAAAGATCCGACCCCCTGGGCTCCCGGGCCCTCTGGGGTACTGAGGTCCCCTGGACTGGAAACTTGGAACGGAAGCTGACCCAGAGGGTGGTCTGCTGGCGCCGCGGCGCTGCGGCACTGCCAGGCACTGCCCGGTGAGTGAGGACAGAAGGGGCAGAAGCGCTGAGGCGAACCGAGCGAGTACCGCAGTTAAAGCCCCCTTTAAAAGCAGAGCGTCGGTGACCGCTTTGGCCGCCACTTTTTCTTGTTGTTTGTTCGGTCTCGTATTTGGAGTTGCAGGCCCTCTGACTCGGAGCGGAGCGGAGCGCTCCGGGGTCGCGGGACGCGGCGGACGAGCGCTGCCCGGACAATGCGCCCTCACCATTGTGCTGCCCGGCCTTGTCCGTCTGTGGTGGTGGCTTTATGTACCAAGTGGCCGGTCAGTCTCTGGCCTGGCATTTCCAGTAAATAATATTTATTTTCTCACATTTTTCTTTTGATTTTCAAATATCTGTTGTGCTGTCTGCCTTGCCGTCCTGGCCTGGTCCTGGCCTCCTTCCCCGGTCGAGACGTAACGGCGGCACTCCGCTCATTCGCCTTGGTGCATCAACAACTCGGGCATCCCTCCACGCAACTTTTCTCGTTTAACCGCAGACGGATGTGCCTTGTCAGCCGATCTCGCTAAACACGGCTCCGCACACGCCGGCAACTAGCTCCCCCGACCGCGGCCGGGCGCTCGTTTTTTTTTGTTTTTTATTCGCTCCGCGTTTTTTCCCCCTCCCCGTGTCCCGCTCCGCCCGAGTGGCAGTAACTCGCCAGTGGATCAGGCAATGCCAGGCATCGCCAGGCAAGGCACTCGGACCGCGCTAATTAGTGGTAAATCCAGCCAACTTCCCCTTCAGCAGCTTTCTTGCGCCGGCCTGCCCCCCTCCCCCCCTTCCCCTCCTCTCTCACTCTCTCGTCCGGGCTCCACGAGCATTAGTCTGCCCATAAAATTAGCGTTCGATGGCCTCGAGGATGATTTCAGAGCGCGCCACTCTTCCGCCCGTGATGCCAGCTGGAATACTTTTGGCGCGAAAAACAATGAAAGGGGCGCGGCGGCTTGGCACTCTGGCCTGGCCGCCGATCAAAGTGCCGTTCGCCACGGCCGGCACGGCAGGGCGTGGCACGGCACGGCACGGCACGGCACGGCACGGCACGGCACGGCAGGGCAGGGCGTGGCACGGCACGGCACGGCACGGCACGGCAGGGCGCTTTGGCTCCAGCTCCAGCGCGGCCGGACTGGCCAGAGCGAATTTTGATGTCCGTGACAACCCCGACCCGCCCGGCGCTAACGAGCCAAAGAGGTGTCCCAGCGGGCCAACTTGGACGGGGGCGCGTCTCCGGAACGGAGGAGTTAGCGAGTCGACGCCGTGGCCGCGACAGCTGCGGTGTCCGTTTCTCACCCGCGGGTCTCTCGTTCAAATCCCATCACCGATAGCTTTTTTTTCGGTTCGGTTTTTTGTGATGTTTGTTTGTGTGTGGGGTCTTGCCACGGTGTACTGCGGCGGGTGGGTTCTCTGGAGGGGTAGCCCTATCCTTTCCCAATACGCGCTCCTATTACTTTGCCCCGCTGCTCCACCCCGCTCGCCCCGCCCCGCCCCGCCTGTGCCATTGCATTATCTGGATTAAACACTCCGCGGTGCGCACATGCTGCGGGGCCGCGGGTGGGGCTGCAGCGGGCTGCTTGACAACAGGCTTTTGTCAGGACGCGAACGGCGCGAGCGCAAATTGAATTCTGTCGAATGAAATTTGGGTCGCCGGAGTGTAGCATGCGAGGGTGGTGCGGGGGGAATCCGGGAATCCGCGCTCCACAGGCAAATAGGCAACGGGACACCAGCCGCACGACGCGCGCGTCAAAGCCGCGGACGATCCGGGACAATGAACGGTAGTTGCCGCCGGAGCCGCCTGGCGCTCTGTCGCTCGGAGATGCAGAGCTGCAGGGCCCCGTATTGAGCGCGCTCTTTTGGGGACTGGAAGCCCTTTCGGGTGCCTATTTTGGGGCGCCTGGTCTTGCACACCGCTTGTTCCCGTTTCCACGGCGGCGACCTGCAAACAGCAGCATGCCATGCCGCGGCCCCCGTGCAGTGCCTTGGCAGTGCCATGGCAGTGCCCCTCCCTGGCCAAACACCCCTCGGCCTCACACACGGCGACCCGCGGCTTTCCAAACACGCCGTGAAGGGGCTGCAGGCAGCCTGCAGGCAGCCCGCCGCTGCCCGGTCAAGATCTGCCCCACCTGGATTCTTTGTCTGCGGAATTTTTAAGGCATGTGACCCCGGCCCGCCCGGCCCTGCCAGCCTCGCCGGCCTTGGCGCCGCTGAAAGACGCCCTGCTGCCCTATTCCCGGGGTCTCGTTGACCCGGTTTAAATATTTAAGAAATAACGGCTTGGCAAACAGGGAGAAGGGCGGCGGCTACGAGGAGCGAGAGGCAGCCCGGCCGAGCCCGGCCGAGCAGCGCGCCGCGTGGCGTTCGATCTCCTTCTCGATTTCCTGACGCTAGAGGGCGCCGTTTGATGACGCGGTGCGGCTCGTTTTTATTGAGCCGACCTTTTGTGTACTCCCTGGAGACGACCGCCGCCGCCGCCGTGGCCCAAGGAGCCTGCGCGGCGGGGCTCCCTGCCCGGGCCGTGTTTTAGCCTCTTGATCCTAGGTGTACGGTGTACGACAAGCGTGCGGCAACTTTGCCAACTCATTATGTAAGTTTGGAACACATGAAACACACCCAGCGCGGCGGGCCCCGGTCGGCGGCTGGTCGACCCCACGCCGTGAAAAGTAATACTTAACCCCGTCTAGGTTCCCCGCAGTGCACGCGCGGTGAGGTGGCCTTCGTTGGTATCCCGTATCCCCAGCGGCGGCGTCGGCGGCGGCCTCGACGGCGGCCTCGACGGCGGCCTCGACGGCGGCCTCGACGGCGGCCTCGACGGCGGCCTCGACGGCGGCCTCGACGGCGGCCTCGACGGCGGCCTCGACGGCGGCCTCGACGGCGGCCTCGACGGCGGCCTCGACGGCGGCCTCGACGGCGGCCTCGACGGCGGCCTCGACGGCGGCCTCGACGGCGGCCTCGACGGCGGCCTCGACGGCGGCCTCGACGGCGGCCTCGACGGCGGCCTCGACGGCGGCCTCGACGGCGGCCTCGACGGCGGCCTCGACGGCGGCCTCGACGGCGGCCTCGACGGCGGCCTCGACGGCGGCCTCGACGGCGGCCTCGACGGCGGCCTCGACGGCGGCCTCGACGGCGGCCTCGACGGCGGCCTCGACGGCGGCGTCCAGGAGGGGGCTACTCGACGGCGATCTCCCTATCGGCGACAGCCACCTTGTCGACAGCGGCCTCCTCGATGGCGGGCTGCGTGAACAGGGTCTTTGGGGCGCCGGCGCTGCGGTGGCCATCCATTCATCATTGCTCCAGACGCCCGGCCCGCCAAGCCCCGCCCAGCAGCCCAGAGCCAGGCAAGGGCGGCGCGGCCGAGTGCAGTTACGGCACAAGCGCCATTAAGACTGCGGCGCGACGTCCCAGTCGCTATTTGCATGCTAATGCTCGGCCTTGCCTCGGCCCGCCAGCCGGCCTGCCTGCCCGGCCTATGCAGCTCTAAACTGTTGTCAGCGCGGAAGGAGAATTAATAAGAATATTCAGTCAGTCGTGCGGGGCGGGGTGGGGCGGACGGGGCGGGCAATGAAATTTAATGAGGCCGAGCAGCTAACTGGAGTGGTGTGCAGCGCGGCAGCGCGCCCCGGTTCGCGAGACACTCGTCGTCGTCGTTCGAGGGCCGCACCCTCGCTGCAATCTGCCGGGGAAACACGCTGTTTGAGAGCGCGCTCTCTGACCTGACTGTACAGCCCTCCAGAAGACTGATCCCTCTGCCTCTCTCGCTCCCAGACGGCCCGCCCTGTGAGTGCGAGAGAGACAGAGCGACACGACGCTGCTGATCGCGAGGCGCGCCTCGAGTTGTACTTCCCCTCGCGAGTGGCGGCGCCTGATAAACGCCACGCCACCCCGTTGCATCCTGCCCCGCTCCCACTCTGCGCGGCTCTGCGCGTGTGTGAGAGAGACAGACAGGGCGGTACTATTGGGGCGGGGCCACACCCTCGTCTACATCACTGGGGAATTCCTCCGTCCCCCTCCCCATGTCTCCGAAGCACCCCTCCGCCTGATGCTGACATTGAACGCCTTCGCGAAATTCCGGATTTTGGATAGCTGTGCGTGGAAATAACATCGCGAGAACAAGGCGGACGTCTTCGACGCACGCGGCGCCGCTCCCGACGCGTATCGGAGATTGTCGCCCCGTGTCGGTGGTGTGTCTACGCGTGTGTGAGTTGTTTGTGCTTGGCGCCGTAGCGGTGGCTGGGCTAACACCTGATCGGCGCGGTGTGTTGCGTGTTGCAGGTGCGGCGGTCGCGGCGGTGATGGCGGAGCGTCCGTGGGATGACGGCCTCGGTGACGGCCTGGATGATGGCGGCCTGCTGATCAGGTAGGGTGTGCACCTGGTGCCGCGCCAGCTGCTGGCGACGTATCTCCATCCATCCATCACACACACGTACTTACACACATACACACACCTACACCCACACCCCACACACACTCACACGGCGGGCTGCTCGCTGCGGCACACTTTCAGCAGAAAGAGCTCACAAATAATTGAAATGTTACACCTTGCTAATGATGCGCCACGGCGCAGCAGTGTGTGTGTGTGTGTGTGTGTGTGTGTGTGTGTGTGTGTCCGCAGCAGTGTGCTTGACAGTGGTGTTGTTGAGAGCGCTATTCTGACAGTGAGGCAGCACTGCGAACGGCTTTCCCCCAGGTGCAGCAAACTAGCCATAGCTCGGTGTCGCTCTGGTCGCGACCTCGCCAAGCGACCCCCGCCATTGCAGTGATTGGCCTCGACTGCAGCGTCCACAGCGTCCAGAGCGCAGTGCCGCTGCCGTCGCCCTGACAAACTAACCGCCATTCAAAGCCCCCAGCCCACTGGCCCGGCTGCCCTGGCTGCCCCGGCTGCCCTGGCTATGCCCGCACAAAGCTCGCCCACCCCGCGGAAGTGGAGCTCGCTGCACAACATCAACATTGTCGCGCAGCCCGCGCTGCAGCCCGCCCCTCCACCCCCTCCTCCCGGCCTCGTGTTCGCGGGAGGTGCGATACAATGTGTCACGCGCTGTTGTCGCCAAACTAAAACCTCGGAATGTTGTGAAAATAGGATGCTTTCAGCGTCCAATCCACGGCTACGCGCGTGTCCTGCAAATCGGGGGGGGGGGCACATGTACGGGAAATCTGAGTAGACGAGAATGTACCTCTACGGCAACTCATTGCCACTAAAACATAACTTTGGAATTACAAAAAAATTGTAGGTCCTAGCTGTGCAACGTGGAGAACCAATCCCGGGCCCGAGGGCCTGCAGGTACGCGGAGTACCGGTCAAAGCCAAAGCCAGCCGGTGAAGCCGGCCGCGCCATCAAAGCCTTTCCAGAAAACGCTGAAAAGATGACAGGCACCTGCCCTGCCAAAGGCTGGCCCCTCCACCCCATCCGGCCCCTCCGCTACGAATGTAGGCCACTGCAGGTCCGGGTGCAGCCCTCCAGCCCGGCGTCTGGCGGGCCCGGTACCGATATCGGTGACAGGCCGGCTGGCGCCTCGTTCCGCAGGCACACCCGCGGCAGGCAGGCGGCTTCAGCGACCGTCTGCTTCTGCTGATTGATTTTGGCGCCGAACTGTCGGAGTGATTCCGAAGACTCGCGCCTGGGTCGCGCTGTGTCTCAGGCGCACCCCGACGGACGGCACGCCCGCCACGCCCCGTGAGTGCGACGGAGACGGAGCGGCGGCTCTTCAGCCTGCCGCTGGAAGATGACTGATGAAAAGGGCCCGGGGCTGGAGGGTCGGCGCGCTGGCGCGCAGCACAGCGTAGCACAGCGCCGCCTGCAGTATTCAAATTGGCGGGTACGGCTCCGGCTGTCCGCAAACCTCGGGAGAGGAAAGACCCGTCGAGGCTGGCGGACGCTGGAGTGGCGAGTGGTTAACTCGGCCAATTAACTGGGCCTTGGCCGCCGCGCGCGCCCCGCTCGTCTTGCCGACAGGCAGCCCGCTTGTCCGCTTGTCCCGCTCTCACTCATTTGGGAGTCAATCCCAGACAGCCAGCCCGGCCTGGCCCAGCCCGGCCTAGCCCAGCCCGGCCTAGCCCAGCCGGGGCCACACTGAGATTCCAAACGCTATGAGTATAGCACGTATGGTGCAATGCGCTGTGATATCGCACCATACGTGCAATGCCACAGCCATATTGCACCTTTGGTGCAATGCTTCCCGAAAAGGCCCTATGCTAATGCATGGGAATGGGGAGGCATTGCACTTCATGTGCAATGCTTTTGCATTGCACCAATTGACGCTATACTCATAGCGTTTGGATTCTCAGTGCACAGCGGGGCCTCAGGCGGCCCGAGGCCAGATTACCGCGTCCCTGTGCAAACCGCGCGTTGTCGGAGTAAAAAGAGAAGAGAAAGAAAGGGGAGGGGGCAAAAAATTGATTTGTGGTCCGGAGTTCTTTTGACGGCGCTGATCCCCTCCGGCTGCTGCTTCGCGCGCTTCGCGCTGCTTCGGCTCGTTCGGCCGTGCCGCCGTGCCTTGCAAGCGGGCGGCGGGACGCCCTCGTCGGTGCTGGAGGGGGAAATCGTCTAGTACGTACGCGATTGCGTAATGTTGACCTTTGTTCCTCCCGCTTGCCTTCCACAATGGCGGCATACACTCCGCGCTGCCGAGGGGGAGGGGGGCAAGGGGGCGAAGCAAACATCAGAAGCGGGGATATCCCTAAGGAGCGACCGGGCGCACGTAATGCCATGCGATTGCATCATTACCCACGAGAGGGCCGCGAAAAGAGAGCCAGCATTGCTCGGGCACGGCGCCGCACGGCGCCGCACGGCCCCCACTCGGCAACCACTCCACTGTCGATTGGGCTAGTTTCTGATGCCGAGCGATTTCTCATTTTCCCGTCGTCCGCGGCTTGCGGAAAAAGAAACGTCTGGCGGTGTCCGCATTGGTCCGCATCCAGCGGCACACTGTTCTCCGTTCCGTCTTGTGAGGCAGGCCGAGGCAGGCCGTCCGCGCTCCCGCACTGCGATGCATCGCCATGTGTTGTATATACGTCATGGACTCTGCGCCTGGAAAAGGATCTGCTGTGCCCTCTGCTCGGCGAATGTACTACCCCGGCATCCTGCACCAATATTCCTATGCAAAAAAGCACGTGTGTGTGTGTGTGTGTACGTGTGTGTGTGTTTTGCGTGAAAAGGAGAGGGCCCGGTGGTGTTGGTGGAGGTCACTGATATCATTATCGTGCGGAACGGAAATCATTACTCTGCTTCCATCCTTTGACGGCCTGCCGCGAGCCCTTCCCCCGACCCTCCCCTTGCCCCGCGGTGACGTGACGAAATCCGCCAGTGTGCCATTGTGAGGGCGGCTGGCCCGGGTGGCTGGTTGCGTCGGGCGGCGGCGGGGCGCGGCGCGGATCGGCGATGAATTGTTCTCCGTTTGCTCACGTTCGGCGGGGCGGCGGGCTGTGCCGTGGGCCGTGCCATTAGCGGTGGCGCAGCGGCGGCGGCCTCGCCGGTGGTGGCGACCGGCATATATTTCGAGCGGCCTTTTCCACGCAAAACGTGTTTCTTCACCTTTCTGTTCTGCTTGTTGTTGCAGGCGTTAGCGGGCGGGAGCGCCAGGAAGCCGGGCGCGCGGGGATCATGTCACCATGGACGGGGAGAACCGCATCATCCTCAACGTGGGCGGAATAAGGTGGGTCTCTCTCTCCCCCCCTCTCTCTCTCTCTCTCCAATAACCTAACTGGCAGTCTCTTTCCTTTAGTCGCCTCTAGTGGTCTCTTTAGGGGCCTCTCTACAGATTCTTCTCCCTCTAAACGGCCACTCGAGGCCCGGGCAGGGACCCTTCCTCATTGTAGGGCTCGAGGAGCCCCAAGGCAGTCCGAAGGCATCCTGAAGAGCCGTAGGCACCCCAGCGAGAGGCGCGTTTTATTTAGGCTGAATGAGGGCATTATGGCGAGTCCTTGAGGTCCTCGGCACGCCAAGAATGAGCTTATTCAGGTGCTTTTCGGCGTTCTTCGAAAGGGCGGCCGCGCTGGTCTAGTCCGACGAGCTGCTCATTAGCGCCTTTATTGCCAGCCAGACGACCAAGTGTCTGCCAGGCTGCCTGGCCGCCCTGCCGGCTGGCTGCTCTGCCTGCCCGCCCTACTTTTCCATGTCTCAGCGGGGCTCAACTTCGTTACGAGCCCAGCGATTGGCCCTAATGCCTTTTCCTGCCCCCCGCGGGGCCCGCTCGCCCCTCCAGGTACGAGACGTACCGGACGACGCTCAGGAAGATCCCCGCCACCAGGCTCTCCCGACTCACCGAGGCGCTCGCCAACTATGACCCGATACTCAACGAGTACTTCTTCGACCGACACCCGGGAGTGTTCGCCCAGGTGCTCAATTACTACCGGTAAGTCGTTTCATCACGAGTGCTCCGTGGCCGAGCGCTTTAGAGCTCAGATGTGCAAGTAAAATACTTGTGGTTCAACACTTCCCTTTTCTTCGCAACTTTGTGCTGATGTAATTGAGTTATCTTAATTTTTTTATCACTCTTGTGAAGTATTCTACTGACTATTCGTTTGCCTTTTCATCAGAAAGCGGCTTAAAAAACAACTTATTTTTAAAATTGTCTGAGCTAGGTTTTTTTGTGGTTTAGCCATCCGCTACGGCTGCAACCCGTCTCTTGGTTAACGCGCCTAGTTGGCTATGAATATGATGGATGGGTCTTGGAACGTCTTGCTCCGAGTCACGCGACCTTCCAAGGCCGAGTCATATTTACAAGCCCCCCCCCCTTTCCTCCCCCAGGGATGCCGGGCCGGGCCGTTATAAATAAGGGAGTACCCACAACAACGCCAAAGCAAAGCAGTGCAAGTCCGAGCCGGGTCGGGCCGGGGGGCCGTAGTCGTCCGGTAGGCTGATTCCGAGAGTCGTTTCCGTCGCTCTATCTCTCTCGCACCTTTACGGGACGCCGCATGAGTGCGAGAGAGAGCGACGAGGACGACTCTCGGAATCGGTCCACAGCGCGGCGCGGCCCGGTGCAGGCCAGGATAGTGGTTAGTTGAGTAGTTGGGTCATCCCATCCCGGCCTGGCCCAGCCTGGCCCGGCACGGCCAGTCAAGATTTGTGGCCGAAAAGTTTGGCCCGGTCCGTGGCGTGGCCAAGGCGTGGCTGTCTGCATTGGCCCGATTTGTCGCCGCAAAGCCCGGGGGGAGGGCCGACCGCGCCACTGTAGCCGGGGAACGGCCCTGTCGATACGACAGCTTTACGCGCAGCGCGAGCCAGCGAGGCCATGACGCCCGACTGCGCGCCGCAGTGGGTTGCTACGCGCTGCAGCGGATTGCAGAGGGTTGCAGCGGATTGCAGCGGATTGCAGTGCAGTCACAAAGGGAATGGGCTGGGCGGGCCTAATGGCAGCATCTGCCGCGGGCTGGGGCTGGGGTTGGGGCTCGTCCGGGTTCGAGGTCCTTTGGCGTGCTTCGGTGCGCGAGGGCCGGAGAGCACCAAGACTAACCGCTTGTTTGCAACAGGACGGGCAAGCTGCACTACCCGACCAACGTGTGCGGACCGCTGTTCGAGGAGGAGCTCGAGTTCTGGGGCCTGGACTCCAACCAGGTGGAGCCGTGCTGCTGGAGCACCTACAGCATCCACCGAGACACGCAGGTAAAGCGGACTAGGGGACGAGGCGCGGCCGCAGCGCCGCAGGGGGCAGCCTGCGAGGTAGGCCGCCACCGCAGGCGCGCGCAGCGGAGCGTGGCGGGCCTGCCTACCTCGCAGGCTGCCTGCAGGGCCGGGACGGGCACGAGGCGCGGGCCGCGTCGGCTCCATGCCGGCTCCATGCCGGCTCCATGCCGGCTCCATGCCGGCTCCATGCCGGCTCCATGCCGGCTCCATGCCGGCTCCATGCCGGCTCCATGCCGGCTCCATGCCGGCTCCATGCCGGCTCCATGCCGGCTCCATGCCGGCTCCATGCCGGCTCCATGCCGGCTCCATGCCGGCTCCATGCCGGCGGCTTGTTTGCCCGCCAGGCCGCCACCAGCGGGCCACTAGCGAGTTCATGGACCCGCAAAGCCCCCGCGCGCGGCCGCGACGAGTGGCGGGAACAGGGGAACAGGTGGGGGCAACGACTGGCACTAACACGTCCACGCGGGGAAAACCCGAGCCGAGTGGGTGCCGAGGTCCCGGAGTCGCGGGGCGGGGCGTGGCGGGGCGGGGCGGGGGCGGCAGGGAGAGAAGGAGAGAGGGTGCATGTTGACGCCGTGTCCCCCTTGCAGACGACGCTGGCCATCCTGGACAAGCTGGACATCGACGCCGAGCGGCCCTCTGCCGAGGAGGTGGCGCGCCTGTTCGGCTACGAGGAGGACTACCTGGCGGGCAACCTGTCGGCATGGCAGCGGCTCAAGCCCAAGGTGTGGTCGCTGTTCGACGAGCCCTACTCCAGCACCGGCGCCAAGGTGAGTGGCCTCCGCAGGGCCTTCTTTGCAGCGGCCGCGACGCCACTGCACGCCACCGCTTCAACCCTTGTCTACCTAGATTCAAAAATGCTACAGGAAAGTACTCATATGGTGAACTACCGACCGTGTGCCTATAGCAAGCATGTTAGCTGGATTTTCGTGGTCGCGATGATATTTGTGAAAGTTGGTGATGTCGTTTCTTTTTTCGTTTATTTAATTTTTCGTGATACCGGCTCGCCCAAGGGCTTGCCCAGTGCCCTACAGGACTCTCGTGCGGCAGTTAAAAGTGCTGTGGTAGCGCGCAGCGCGTCCACCACCCCGACTGCGGACAAGCCGCTTTTGACCTTGACTGTCCGCGCGGGGCTCGGCGCGGGGCGGTGCACTCTCGCCCCGTTTGCCTGTGCATAAGTACGGCATTCGCAGTGGGCCAGGCCGTAACAAGCGCCTGCCAGGCGCGGCGCGCGGCCATGCTCCCCGTGCTCGCTGTCCCCCTCCCTCTTTCAATTTGGCATTCGTAACGAAAGCGCCGAAAATAGCGGGATTAGCCGGGCCCGACAATGAGTGCGAGAGAGACAGTGCGGCCATGCTAATGCTGCGTTTGCCGGCGTTTGCGGGGCGACGGCCGCGGCATAATGCGGCTAGGGCCGCCGAGGCCGTCTCTCTCGCACCCCTACGGGACGGCCTGCGAGTGCGAGAGAGACAGGGCGAGGCCTGCTGGCCAAGGCCGCCTGGAGGCCGCCTGGAGGCCGCCCGGTTCATTGGGCACCGTGCCCTGGCTGCCCTGGCGCGGGAGGAGTGCGGTCATTCAATTCCCGGCCGCGACTGCGATATCTGCGGTCAAAAGCCAAAACGGCGAGTATTAATTAGTAGCTACACTGGGCGAAGAGGCTGGCAGCAGTTTTTCGATCCTTCCGTAGCCATGCACTACGAGTATCGGTCTGCTGTCGAGGTCCACCGTGCTGCTTTACACATCCAGGGGGCGCGTCGTTCACATGAACTAACAATCTGTTTTAAATAAGATAAACTAAAATAATCATTAAAACATGTTCACAGTGTACTATGCCGCGCGCAATTTCGCAGGAAATTGTAGTGATGGATTGGCGCGCGTGTGAGCCGCCGGGGGCCCCACCGCCGAGGCGGCCGGCGTACGTGCTCCCGGACGAGCCAAAGCTAACGCGCGCCCCCGCTCTGGAGTCTGGAGGCGGGCACCTTTAGCAGTGGGGCCACACGCGGCCTCACCTCCCCCGCAGCCTCGCAGGCCTCGCGGGCCTCGCAGGCAGCCTCCCCCGTGACAGGTAGCGCCGCTTGGTGTGTACGGCCCGTCACTCACGGGGCATCCCCCTCTCCTCCGCCGCCACCCCCACGGATGTCCCGCTACATTGTGGCGTCGAAAGCGTTTCACACGCCGTCACAAAAGCGGGCGGCGTGGCCAACTTTGGCGCCGCTCCTCCTCGCCCCGCCCCGCACCGCCGCCCCGCGCCCCAGAATGCGTGCAATTGTTGCAGTACAGCATTTGCGTGCTCCTTGCCGCTGAAAGCCTGCCGCTTCGCCTGCCTCCGGCTCGGCAGCGCGGCAGCGCGGCACCGCGCTCGGCCCTTGCAAACTTTGCCGGGTCGGCGAAATGGAGGCCGCCGCGCCTTGCCTTGCCTTGCCGTGCCGTGCCGTGCCGGGCCGGGCCGGCTATGCGAGGCTTGACGGCGATGTTAAACTGACGCCGCTGCTTAAAGTGGTGGATTAAATTCCATCATAGGGTGGCGGCTAGCAGCCCTTCGCGACAGGCCGCGCCCGCCCCGCCGCACCACGCCACGCCCCGCCACGCCCCGCACCACGACCCAAAACTTGCGCGACTGGCCGCGCCAAGACAGCCTGTGTGTAATTGCCACACGCATTCCACTGCTTTTAACCCCGCCGCCCTGCTGGGCCCTGCTGGGCCCTGTTCTTCCCCGCTCGGCCCTGCTCCCCTACAAGGCCACCCCCAGGGGCCACGACCGGCGTGCACGAGTGGTGGTGGCGACGCTCTGCACTTGGAGTCACCACCGCGCCGGCGTGCCGTGGCGTGCCGTGCTGGCCGTGGCGTGCCGTGGCGTGCCGTGCTGGCCGGCAGATTGAGCCGTCCCAATGGGGCCATTGCACACGGTTCCAGCCGACGCCGCCCCGCCCCGCCCCGCCCGCCCTGCAGGCGAGCGGAATGAGATGGCGTGGGATGGCCCCGTCGTGTCCGTGTGCTTCTCTTTTCGGCCTCATTTTTATTTCCAGCCCGCCTTCTGCCAAAGCTCTCTCTCTCTCTTTCTTTCTCTCTGTCGCTTGTGTCTCTCTTTCTCGCTCCGCTGGTTCCGAATGGCCCCGCCAAGACCTACCGCTTTGAAGCTACTCCGGGCGGGGCAGTGCGCGTGGGACTGCCCGGCCCGGCACGCCCGGCATGGGGGCCTTGCGAAACTTGTTATCAAGAGGGACGCCGTCCGGTGCCGTTTGCTGGCGTCTTTGCTGCCGGCCCGTTGTTGCCGTCTGCAGCCTGCAGTGCCCTGGCAGTGCCCTGGCAGTGCCCTGGCAGTGCCCTGGCAGTGCCCTGGCAGTGCCCTGGCAGTGCCCTGGCAGTGCCCTGGCAGTGCCCTGGCAGTGCCCTGGCAGTGCCCTGGCAGTGCCCTGGCAGTGCCCTGGCAGTGCCCTGGCAGTGCCCTGGCAGTGCCCTGGCAGTGCCCTGGCAGTGCCTGCAGGGGCGGCTTTCTGCCCCGACCAGCATCGCCGACCAGCATCGCCCGCCCCGCCAGCTTCGCCTCTTTCACTCCTTCCATTCAGCCGTCCCTTATTCTTCGTCAAGTGCTCGCTGCCGCGCTGCCGCGCCGCCGCCCCTGCAACCCTTGCGATGCCGTCGTTCGACGACGCTACACCGTAATGTACTGGGGGGCGCAGGTGTGTGTGCGTGGAGGGAGAGAGAGAGATGGAGAGAGACGCGGAGGGAGTCGAGGGTTGGGGAGGGACAGCAAAAACAGGGCCTCATTGTGGGGCCGTCGAACGCGCAGCGCGCCACGAGTGTTGGTGGATGATTTGGCCCCGGACCGCGGCGCCCACCCCACCCCAGACAGCCCGGTTCCGGTGCGGTGGCGGGGGGGGGGGATTTACGGCCTTCTTCCTCCCCAGACGGCCAGGCGAGCAGTTTGCCGTGCGACCCGACGACTTGGAGCTGGATAAGCGAAAACAGAGAGCGCCTCCTGCCGCTTGCACCGGGACGGGACGAGAAGAGGCACCTGGCCGCACGGCGGCAGAGTGCACCACTTCCTACTTGGGCCCCGACCACGGCCCCGACGCTGCAGAGTCTTATTTCGGAGCCGGATTAACGTCGGTAGCGTCGGGGATCTCGGCTCTGAGGATCCGAGAAAGGGAAGGGGTACTAATCATGGGGACCTGATGCTCCGGTAGCGCTACCTTGCCTCGCCTCGCCTCGCCTTGCAACCCGTGCCGCGTGTTTTGCTCGGATGGTAATCCCCCGTCGGTTTGGCCTCACCTGCCGGCGAGGTTCCCGCGCCACGGGGACGGTGAGAGGGAGGGGCCACGACGACGACGAGGATGAGGCCCTCCAAGACGGCCAGCCAGCCACGGTCGGCAAAGCAATTACACTCCGCAGTCCACGACGCGCAGCACTTAGTCAATCACAAAATGTCGCGGGCAGGGCGGGGCGGGGCGACATCAAACGGGCTCAATCCATGCTGCCTTGCCCCTGGCTCATTCCCCGCCCGCCACGCCGGCACGCCACTCCAGGCCCGCCCCCTGACTACTTCCTGCTGAGCAAACACATTACCAGCGGCGCACGATGACGTCACAGCTGTTTGAATTCCCCCGGGCGGCGCGCGCTGATGAAAAATTTATTGGCGCGAACGGAATTGCGGCGACGCTGTGAGCACGGCGTGAGCGCGCTGGGGCCCGGACGGCCCGGAGCACCGCGAACGCCGCGAACCCCGCGAACAACAAGACGCCCTTTGTGTGAGTGGCGCCCTCTCGCGGAAAATAAGAAAATAACGGAAAGTGCGGGAGGTTCCTGGAGCAGGGATTTAATTAAGCACGTGAAAAGCTTCCCCCTAACGGAGCCCCCGGCTGGAGCAGCCAGGGTCGGCGAGGGGAAAAAACGGTTTGGCGGAGAGCAGCCAGGCAGTTAGGCAGTTAGGCCCCGGCGGCGGGAAGGCGCGACGAAGGTGAGGCGCCGTCTGGGTGCTGTGCGCGGTGCTGTGCGCGGTGCTGCCGCGGGAAGTGCTGGCGCTGCAGGGCGGCCGTTTGCGGCCCGGGGCCTTGTGTCCCGGGGAACAGGCCTGGGGCGCCGGGACGGAAGATGCAAGGCCGTTCGTAAAACAAAGGACTGCGTGGGGGAGGCGACCGTAAGTGGCGTCGGCCGTGCGCATGGCGGACATGGAGGGGACCGGGGCGGGGCGGGGCGGACACTCCGGCAGCCCGTGCAGATTATGACGCTGGAGGAAAGCAAAGTAATAAGGAGGGGTGGCAGGGGGCTGAAGGGTGGGGCTTGACGGGCGGGGGGATGAAGTGTGAAACGGTTGCTCCAACACGGCACGGCATGGCCCTGCCTGCGAGGCTGGGCGAGGCTAGACGAGGCCAGACAAGGCCCCCGGCAGGCGCGGCGCGGAACGCGGCACGGAACGGGAGCTCGAGTTAGGGACAAATTTACTCATTATCTGAGAACGGCGCCGCCTAGTCTAGGCTCAAGTAGTTTGAGTCTGGGCTTTCCGGAAGCACTCCCGCCGAGACCCGCTACCGCCCCACGCCGCCCCGCCCGCCGAGTGCAGGACGCGCCGTCAATTGCCGCCACATTACGGCATGCTAATCCAAGCCAAGTCCCTGTCGCTGTTAATGCGGTGCTGCGACCAGACCAGCGCTTCGCTGTGCCTCGCTGTGCTTCGCCGCCACTCGGCTCCAGGCAGCCGCAGGCAGCCCCGCCCAGCCCCGCCCAGCCCCGCCCCGACTCTGCGTGTTTTCCGTGGTGTTCCGGTGTGTTCCGAGACCTGGATCCATTGGGCACTCGAGCCGCAATCGCGCCAGATCGATTCCCGCTCCTCTTTTTTCTTCTTGCGCCACCCGCTATGCACGCGTGCGCCGGGCTCGCTGGGTCTCCGCACTCAGACACACACACAGAGCCACACTCGTCACACACGCATGGCCAAAGTTTTTCGATTCGGGCTTTTCGAGTTTTAGAGCGGGAGATGGCCTGGCCTCCTCGGCGGCCTCGGCGGCCTTGGTGGCACTGGGAAGGAGACCCGGTGAGGGCATCAATCTGCCGACGGGGCACGGACGCGGTGGACGTCGGGGCGCGGCCGGCGCGGCGTCGTGGGGCCGGGGGAAAACTCGAAACCCCTGCATCACTCCGACAGAAACCGAGCCTTTTGAAAGGGCGCTGTGTTTCCAGCCGGGGCGGCCTCCTCGCGCCGCAACCCCAACCCCTCGCCGCCCCCTCCGCCGCCCCCGCAGGGTGCCATAGGCAGTTTCATTGTGGAAACGCCATCGCGCGCACCTTTTTTATTGCCTCCCGTCCCTGATGGATGAATGGAGCGACGGGCGGCTGGCTGAGGTGGGAGAAATAAATAGTGTTTCGAGGGAAAGGCTGTCGGCCGCAGACAAAAGCTAAGTTCGATTAGAACTTTTCTCTTTTAAGTCCAATTTTTCAAACGGTTTTTGCAGAATCGTCGCCTTTTCTTCCTCATTCCTCACACTTTAGCGTTTTGCGTTGCGCAGCCGGCCACACTACTTGGCGGAGTGGCGAGGTTCGGACCCTGAATGGGTGCCCTCCCCCACACTGCCAGGCTGCCAAGCTGCGCTGTCCGGCCCAATGCGGCCCGCGCAGCATCTCGCTGTCGTCCTTTCCAGGCTCGGGGGTCCTGGGGCTCGGGGTCCTGGGGGACGGGGAGGGAGGGCGGTTCAAAGCCATTTGCCTCGCCTCCGCGCCCCACCCCCGCCATGATTTACCTCCCAATTTAGAAGAGGACACAATGTACAATTTCTGTGGGAACGCGCGCCCTCAAACATCCCCTCCTCCAATTTTCTCCGTCTCTGTCTCTCTCTCTCTCTCTCTCTCTCTCTCTCTCTCTCTCTCTCTCTCTCTCTCTCTCTCTCTCTCTCTCTCTCTCTGCTTGCGGCGGTCCGCGCGACGCCCTGCACCCCTCTCCGCAGTCTTAACTGAGTGCTTGAGTTACAGGGAGTGCTGTGCGATGCTCGTAGTGGCTCACAGTGTGGCTCACAGTGTGGCACACACGGGGAATTAGACCTGGATCCCTTACCGGTCTTGGTGGAAGCTCTCCCCGTGCCGCGCCGTGCCGCGCCGCGCATCACCGCACGACAGCGTGTACAAACTCTCGGTAACGAGGTCGCGACGACGTTTGCTTGAAAGGATTCGTTTCGGTCCACTTCGCCCGACCCGACGCGCCAATACCGCCGGCCCTACGATCCGCAGACCGAGAAAAAAAGAAAGAAAAATAGAGCTGCTGCTATCGGAGTGCTTAGCCAGTGATTGGATCGTAAATCCTCCTTCCAGACGCCGAATCGGACATCAGCCACAATAAACAGCCAAAGCGGCTCCATCACGCGTCATGGCCCCACCACTCCATTTCTTCGACGGTTCCCAACAAACACACTCACACTTAAGGATGGTCAGGATCTGTTCAGCTACTTCTGCTTTCTTCTCGAGAGAACTATCATATTTGTTGGCTGTGATGAGGCCTGCTTCATTTTAAGGAACACTGGGGCCTTCCCGTTCCATCATTCTCCAGAGTTCCCGACATTTGTTAAACTTTGTCGGCTTGTTACATGGAGTCTGTGAGCTAACTGTTATTCCCTTGTTCCAGCTCTGTCTTCCAGAGTCGTGGAAAACTACCAAGCAGGTACCGTCAGGCGAGGCACACTTCCCTTAAGCCCTTTATTGCTACCTATTTGCTCTGCCTATTCTTTTCTCTTTCTATCTCTTCGCCTTTCTTCCTTGTCCCGCCTTCCCTTGTTCCTCATCTGTCTCTTTCCTGGTCTGTCTCCGTTTTAATCACTTGTCCTCTGTCACACGAAAGTCTTATATTTCACCCGGTCTTTCACTAACCCCCCTGGAACCACTCCTACTTCACTTCAAACTATTTGCGTATACTTGTTGTTTGGCTCACTTTGATCTCTAGTATTTCTTTCACTAGAAATATTTTGCTGCCTCTACCCTTATCCCAAACAAACTCTGAGAAAGAAACCACCACATTTCAAAACCAGCTGCATTTAAAAAATTGTGATTTGCGAATGAAATGCAAACATCCTACCAGATGACAGAAGTCCTTCGAAATTAAGCTCAGCCTTTAGTGATTTAAACAGCACATAAACACCTCTATTTTCAATTTTCACTTGTAGATTCACTTTAGTCAGCGGCACAACCTAACCCTGTGTCGACACGTAAAAAGAAAATAATGATGTTAATAAATCATGGTCCTGAAGTGGTTATGCAATGATTCTTCGGGGCAGGTATGAATAATAAATCTCAAGACACAAATATACCGTGATGAAAAATAAAATTTGTTTACAGGGAAGATCGGATGCAACCCTGCATTTAAACTGTCGTATAAATAATTACCGAGCATTTTTTTTAACTTTATAGCAGTATAGTACTATGCGACTTGCCAGCTATTAGAGGTACAACTCTAGTATCATAGGCACTGAGTAGCCGTGTTGATTTTTGACTAGGAATAACAAAAGCATAAATACGTTACCAAATAACGTTTTTTGTTTTATTACTGCTGTACAAGAGTAGTCTATTTTACTAACTTCCTTAAATTTTTTTTAGAATATTTGCTGCAAAACACTGACCACTTAAAAAAACCGACCAGCCCCGAACCACGCACAAGTAGAAGTCCATCGTAGTGCGTCATAGAGGTGGACTGCCAAGGCGGACCAAAAAATGCATGTCTGTAGATTTTTAATTCCGGTCGGATGGAACCGTGAATGATGGTCGCTGGACCCATTTGTCATCTTTTCAGGAAGAAAGATAAAATGGAAATGGAGGTGACGGGGAAAAGGCGCTGGCGATGGCCGGGCTGGGCCTGGCCTCGGCTGGCAGACCTGGCCCGGCCTGGCCGCGCGTGCTCTGAATCGGACTGAAAAATGAAACTTGTCGCGTCCGCCTGAGACTCGCGCCTCGGGCTGGCCTCCTTTGACGAGCCCCGTGTGCCGGCGGGCTGGGCGGGCCAGTGTACCAGTGTACCTGTGGAGGAAGGAGGCCGGCCGCTTCCCTTCGTTCTGCCGCCCTCAGCTCGTCGCCAGCAGGCTGCCTCCGGACCGCTGTCCGTCTCTGTCTCTCTCGTACGCCTTCGGAGCGTCCCTTGAGTGCGAGAGCGACGCGCGCACTTGTTCGGAATGGGTCTGAGCGCGGCCGTCGCCATGCCGAGCACGCGCAGGAGTAATCCCGCCACGCGCCGCCGCGCCCCGCCACCCCATTCATTTGCCCCACACCTGTCCGGAACAACAGTCGACCGGAACAAGCGCCAGCGAGCGCCTGCGAGCGCCAGCGAGCGCCAGCACCGGAAGCGGACGAGCGCCAAGCCGCGCCAAGCCGCGCCAAGCGTCCAGTGACGAAACGGGACCGAGAAAGCCGTGTTTTTCTCGCGCTACTTATTTTGTCGCGTCCTGTTGCCTTCTTGGCTTCTCAGACGCTTTTTCCCCGTCATCGCCACTGCAATATGTCGAATGTGACGCGCTGACGCGCTGACGGGCTGGCGGCGTTGATGGGGCACTGCGATCGCTCGAGCGGGCGAAGCAGGCGAACCGGGCCTCGCTGATTTATGCACGACCTGGCGGCCCCGGTGGCGGTGGCCCCGGGTGGCCCCCTCAAGACTGATTCCGACCGGGAGGCCTCCCTCTCGCACTCGCGGGGCGCCCCGCGTGCGTGCGAGAGAGACAGGGACGCCCCGTTTGGAATGAGCCTTCCGGCGCGGTGTGGCGGCGCTGCTCGCGCTGCTTGGGTGAGGCGCCGCTGCGTCGCTCGCTCTGCGTATGGCGTTGCCATGTACCGCGACACTCCGGGAGATAATCTCACGTGCTTGGGATAACTCCGTAACGACCTCGCCCCGCCCCGCCCCGCCCCTCGCTCCGCCGCCTGCCCCGCGTCTGGGGAGCTGACGGCCCATTGTGGGACTCCTGGCCTTGGCGCCGGGCACGGCCGGGCACGGCCGGGCAGGACCTCTGGAGGACACCAGCGAGTTAGGGGGCGAGGCGGGGCTCGGCGCGAGGCTAGGCTGCACCGGCCGGGGAGGAGGCGTCGCCTGGCGTCGCCTGGCGTCGCCTGGCGTCGCCCGCGGCACTGGAAATTCGGCCGAGCGGAAAGCCGGTGTCCCGGACGCAGGGGCACCTTGGGGCGTGGCGGGGCGGGGCGGGGCGTGGCGGGGCGTGGCGGGGCGGCCGGGGGCCCCGTTAGAGTGAAACGCAACACTTTTCCCCACGTCACGCCATTTCACCCCGTCTCGGCATGTTCTCCTTGAAACACAAGACGGCGAGTGATAAATCAAAGCCCTCGTTTTGGTTCGGCGCCTTGCAAGGCAGCCACGGCTCTTGACCCGAAAGCGAAAAGAGAGACCCCGAACTGATTGGAGGCTTTGCTGTTCGGCAGGTGGTGGCCGTCGTGTCCGTCTTCTTCATCTGCGTGTCGGTGCTGTCCTTCGCGCTCAAGACCCACCCGGACATGAGGGTGCCCGCCCTGCGCAACATCACCGTGCAGGTACGCGCCTTGGCCGCGGACTTGGCCTCCTCGAGTGACTGCTGCCTAACCAGTCTGCCCTGTGCTCACAGATCACCAGCCCCTCGTCCAACAGCAGCAGGGTGCAGTACGCCTGGACGCTGGACAAGGAGCGCACGGACCCGCACGAGGCCTTCTTCTACGTGGAGCTGGCCTGCAACGCTTGGTTCACCTTTGAGCTCGCCGTCAGATCGGTGGTAAGTTCAAAGAAACTCTTTTGCAAGCATGGCGGTTGAGCGCTTCGAGCTGTCACATGCCAAAATGGCGCTGCTGCAGGTGAGCCCCAACCTGGTTGAGTTCATCAAGAGCCCCGTGAACGTGATCGACTTCGTGGCCACGCTCAGCTTCTACACGGACGTGCTGCTGCGGTCGTCGGTGGCGCACCGCGTGGACAAGGCCGACATCCTCGAGTTCTTCTCCATCATCCGGATCCTGAGGCTGTTCAAGCTGACGCGCCACTCGCCGGGCCTCAAGATCCTGGTGCACACGTTCCAGGCCTCGGCCAAGGAGCTCACGCTGCTCGTCTTCTTCCTCGTGCTGGGTATCGTGGTTTTCGCCAGCCTCGTTTACTACGCCGAGCGGTTGCAGGTATTGATTTCATTTCCTTTTTAATTTATAATTTTGTTGCGGGAGGGGGAGATAGTTTTCAAACCTGCCTTCAACGTCCGCAGGCCAACCCCCACAACGACTTCAAGAGCATCCCCGAGGGCCTGTGGTGGGCCATCGTCACCATGACCACGGTGGGCTACGGCGACATGGCGCCCAAGACGTACGTCGGCATGTTCGTGGGCGCGCTGTGCGCGCTGGCCGGCGTGCTGACCATCGCCCTGCCCGTCCCCGTCATCGTCTCCAACTTCTCCATGTTCTACTCCCACACGCAGGTAAGCGCCACTCACTGCGGTGACTGCATCGGCTGCAGCACGTCGGGTTGGCCCGTCTGGCGGTGCGACGCGGCCTGCTTGACGTGCGTCTCCCTCTCTCGGGCCGCTCGCTCGTTGGGGACCTTCGGATGTGCTCCCCACAGCCTCGGCCGCAAAGCACACCGCCGGCTGAGCCCAGGGCGGGCCGCGCCGAGTCCAGCAAGGCGAGCAAGGCGTGTTGGTCCGAGCGGCCGCCTCTTCAATCATGCTGTCGGTCCCGGCCAGCCTCGGCCCGGCCTAGAGGGCCTCGGCCGGCGCGCTGGGTGAGGCGAGGCCGCCCAGCCTCCTCCGCGAGGGAGTTTGGCCCGTTTGCCTGCAAAGTTATCCTATCCTATCCCAGGCCGCTCCGGCAGTGCCTTGCCCTTCGAGGGGTGGCTGGGCGGCAGGGCGTGGCAGTGCCGGGCAGACAGGCACCCCGGCCAAGCAGTGCCTCGCAGTGCCACGCAGTGCCACGCATCCTGGGCCCAGCGCGCCCAGCGCACACCCTCAGTGCCGCCCACGGCCCGCCTTGGCGAAAGCATCCATGCCAATGGCCGTTCCTTTCCTTGACGGCCTGCTCCGCCTGCTCGCTTCCAGGCGCGGTCCAAGCTGCCCAAGCGGCGGAGGCGGGTCCTCCCCGTGGAGCAGCCCCGGAGACAGCCGCGGCCCGACGGTCCCGGCGGTGGCGCCGGAGGCCCCGGCGGCATGAGCAACCGACGCATGAACGCCATCAAGCACCCCGGCGGCGCCAACACCATCTTCAAGGAGGCCTTCGCCCCGACCAAGATCGGTGAGTACCTGTCCCAGTCGTTTCGGTGTTCAGTTAAATCGCCGCAGAGTTTCATTTCGTTTTTTCGTGTCCGTGTCGCAGGGACCGTGAACGGCGTCAACATGATCGGGTTGGCGCTGCAGGGGCAGTCGCTGCCGGGGATGCAGGTGGCGCGCCCCACCGGCTCCGTGGACATGACGTGCTCGCCGGCGGTGCAGCAGCTGGTGCCCCGGGAGCCCACAGGTACGCCCCTGGGTACGCCCCTAGGTACGCCCCTGGGCTGTGCCGCCGCCCCAGCGGCTTCGGCGTGGGTTCGAATCCACTTAGCCGCCGCACCGCAAACCCCGGCGAAATGATGACCCCCGTCTCCGGGGGGTAAGGCTTCTGCATTCGAAATGGAGCGGGCGGGGCGGATGGGGGATGGGACTCGGCGTCGAAGCGGAGCGAGGCAAGCAGAGCACGGGGCGCTTGCCAGCGGTGCCACGACGTGGAGTCGGACCAACTTAAGAGTAACGATGTTGGGGCGGGGCGGGGCGGGGCGGGGCGCGGGGCTAACTAGATTCGCATTCAGGCGAAGCGGGGGGCACGGCCAGGCAGGGCGCGCCGCGGCGGGCTCTGTATCCCTTATTTGCCTTATTGCTTTGCCAACGCGCTCACATACACACTCACACACACACTCGCTCGCCCACGCACGCGCGCACGCACGACGCACGTACGTGCGCAAGCGCCCCCTACCTCCACACACACACACATACATAGAGCCCGCAAGCAACCGCCGACACATTCACCTGTTAGTCTTCTTGGATATACGAAGTTTCGCCGCGGAGGCGGGGGCGGCGGGGGCGGCGGGGGCGGTGCTGGGCGGAAAGGGAGGGGGATGAAATGTAGGCGGCGAACTTGGCGTCCTTAAAACACGCACGCGCGCTCCATCTCCGGGGCGTCCCAGGTTAGTCCCAGGGCCCTGATCCCAGCCAGTTATCATCCTGGCTGCCCTGGCCTAGAACACGGCCTGCTCGCGGTCCACTGGGCCCCGCCTCTGCCAGGGCCTCCGCCTGGGCCTGGGCTTGGCTCCCTTGGGGGTTGCCGTCCCGGCCCGTCCCGGCGAATCCGTGGACGATCTTGTTGATAAACCTGTACGCTTCCTGCCCCCCGCCCCCGAGCTTAATGACAGCCGTGGGGCGAACACGCGGTGTGGTGGCGCCTCTGGTGGCGCCCCCGCCGAGCCTAACACGGCGGCGAGGTGCGGGGCGAGGCGGGGCGGCGCAGGGTTGGTCCGGAAGACGGGGATGTATACGGCGGCCGGGGTGACGGGACGGGCCACGGCAGCCACGGCGAGGCTCGGGGCAATACCGCCAGCAGACTGATTCCGAGCGGGAGTCCTCTCTCTCACTCGCACTCACGGCGCGTCCAGCCACGGTGCGAGAGAGACAAGACCGACGGGACCCCCCGCTCGGAATCAGCCTGCAGACAGTCATTTACGCGCCGTCACTTACGCCCCGGTGGCGGTAGGCGGTGTCGTCGTTTACCCGTGCAGCCGGGCCGCCCGAGGCCGCCGCCGACACCGAGGAGGCCGCCGTGATGAACGCGGCCAAATGGGCTGTCGGCCGTAATGAGAAGGGCTAGGGGCGGCGCGCCTCGGCCGCGCCGGAACTCGCCCGGTGTTTACTTTTTGGGCAGGCGACACCAGGAACCGGGAACCTGGCTACCAAATAAGAACGCGAAAGAAATGGAGGACACTGGGGCCTGGAAAACCCTGCGTTCCGGGGCAGATGGCAAAGCGCCCAGCTATCTCATTTCACTAATTTATTGAACTTATCGAATAATACCGCTTTGTGCTTTGTTACAGTAATGGCGCCGCCGGACCCCACGACGCTCATCCTGTCGTCCAAGGCCTTCCTGGCGCCGCTGTCCAACGTGGGCGTGCCCGCGCTCACGCCCCGCGGCCCCACCATCGGCAACATCGACATCATGCTGCCCCTGCAGGTGGTTGCTCTTGCGGAGCAAGGCTGTGCTTGTCTTGCATTTTCTCCGCGTGCAAACTTGCTTTGCGTACTTCACTTCACATTCTCATCCATACTTGGATTTCAAGGTGTTTCCCAGTAGAGTTCATTGCTTCATTGCTCGTCGTGTTGCAGCCCCGCTTCCTCACCGTGGCGGCGGTGGACACCAAGTCCAAGGCGGAGGCGGTGACGCCGATACCAGGCCCGGTGGCGGCCCCCATCACGGCGGGGGCCATGGCCTTCGCGGGCATGGCGCAGATTCCGGGGCTGGGGGCGGCCGCGGGGCTGGCGCTGGGTGCCGGGACCGTGGCCGGGGTCGCGCAGGTCGCCGGCACCTCGGACATGGTGCCCGTGGTCGTGGTGCAGTCCCCGCCCTGCCACGACGCCGCCACTGCCTCCACGTCCACGGCCTCCACGTCCACGGCCCTGCCCCCCGGGACGGTGGTGGACGTGGGCACCGGGCCGATCACCACGACGGACGACAGCAGCTCGGAAAGCACGAGCACCCCCGTGCCCGGGGCGCTGCGCTCCGCGTCCTGCTCGTCCTCGTCGCCGCGGAGGCGCCACCAGGTGCACCCCGAGCAGGAGTCCATGGTGCCTCACGACGTGACGTGCCACGTGGTCCAGGTGGAGACGCAGTCGCAGGACTCGGCGTCCGTGGCGTCCACGGACGAGGAGCGCGAGATCATGCTGACGTCGCCGCCCATCCCCACGCCCGAGCTGTGCCGCCGCCACCCGCACCTGATGTACGCCCGCCAGCGCTCGCTGCAGGCCTACCCCCAGGCACAGGCGCACCCCCACCCCCAGGCGCACCCCCCGGGCCCGTCCTGCTCGTCCTACTGCGGCCTGGGGTCCTTGGGCTCGCTGCGGCAGCTCGGCGCGGTCCCCATGGGCAGCGGACCCTTGCCGACGGACCCCCTCGTCCCGGACCCCACGCGGCCGGTGCAGTCCGTGAGCAGGCGGGCGAGCCAGCCAGCACCAAGCAAGGAGGGGGCGTCCGGGCCGAGCCAAGAGTTCAGTGACAGTTCGACGCACCTCTGAAGAGTGCCTGTGCCTTTCGTGGAGAGGAGAGAAAACTCCTCCGGCTCTCCGGGGTTCTGCCCGAGAGTCCCTTCGGCTGTGTCGTCTGTCTGCAGATTTTGTGAATTGTATGAAGTGAGTCAATTTTCTCTGGTCAGCCTCTCAGCTGGGTGCGTTGTCCCTCTGTCTGAGCATGGCCGCGCCAAATGCCTGCAGCATTATTACAAAATAAAAACTCTATTTTTATTAGAAAGAAAAGGGAGAGGGTGTCTGCTGTGTCGTTTGTCGATGATGTTGAAAAGGACGTGTAAACTTGCCTAGGATTTCGATCAGAAAGAAATTTTGATTGTTCTGATACATTTTTGCATAGATCAGGTGATTCTTTTCTGACTGGCGAAAATGAGTTACTTTCTGATTTGTTAATTTTCTTGTTCAGAATTAGAAATTAGAGAAACAATAGGGAAATTCTGAGGAAGTTTACACAATTAAAACCAGAAAGTTTCAGCATACAGTGATAACCCTCATGTGACACAGTCAAATTTCATCTGGTTCATGTTTTATACTTATTTAATCTTGCTTGTGTACTTATTATGTCTTTTCTTGTGTTCCTTTCCTATGCACTGTTACCCGGAGATTTTCCGGAAAGCAAATTGTGACCACCTTTAGATGAAATTTAATTATATAAATTATTTTTACTGAAGATATTTTATTTTGCATGAATATATATTTGGCTTTAAATTGCTCAAATGAAAATTGGCACTAAATACCATCTATTCCGGAACTTGTGTATGCTGTGGACCACAAGCAGGGAGACCCAAAGAAGCCCCAAGCTGTTTCATGATGTCCAAGTTAAGTCTGCAGTCACACCTTTTCCCAACTAAAACGGTCGGACGATTCTCCTCATGTGATACTGTTCAAATTATTTATATTCCAAAAAGCCAAAACTCTCGTCCTTTTTGCCAACACTAATGAGTCCATTTTCAGATACATTTGAGGCGTGCGTTCTTATATCCTAGTAATTGGATCAGAGGAAAAGAGCATACGCTAAATGTTCTGCAAAAAAATATCTCAAGTTTCAGAAGTTTCTTTCTTTGTTACTGTTGTACATCTCAGTCCTTTGTAAAAAACGAAAAAAATAAAATTGTTATTAAAATGTGTTGATAGGCATTGTCAAAAGTGGAGAATTGGTCACAATACACTCAAGTCCTTTTAAATAAAAACGCTAACGCTAACGTGGAAGCAGATGACATTCTATTCGGTACTTGAGTCATCAAAGTCTCCACCATGGGACTCGGGATCTGAGTCAGCGTCCTCGTCGTACACCAACCCTGTAAAAAAAAAGAAAAAATCGTGAATTATGGAGCATTTACGGAAAGGTTCTTACGGGTTAGCCTAGGTTTTCACGCACCACAAAAACATGGCGTTTGCCTTGCTTACCATCGTCTCGCCTTGACCATAAAATAGGGATAGGCGACTTCGCCCGTTCGTCGTCTAGATCTTCTGCATCGGAATTCGTTCCCGAAGCTGCAGCAAGTGCCTGCCTGCGCCTGCGAGTCCGGTCAAGCTCGTTCCTCCTTTGCCGCTTTTCGGGGGTCGTGGTTGCCTGTCTTTGCGCCCGTTCCAGCTCGATTTTCCTCTGCCGTGCTTCGGGAGTCAGGCCTGCCTGTCTTCGTGCCCGTTCCAGCTCGTTTTTCCTCTGCCGTGCTTCGGGAGTCAGGCCTGCCTGTCTTCGTGCCCGTTCCAGCTCGTTTTTCCTCTGCCGTGCTTCGGGAGACAGGCCTGCCTGTCTTCGTGCCCGTTCCAGCTCGATTTTCCTCTGCCGTGCTTCGGGAGTCAGGCCTGCCTGTCTTCGTGCCCGTTCCAGCTCGTTCCTCCTTTGCCGCTTTTCGGGGGTCGTGGTTGCCTGTCTTCGTGCCCGTTCCAGCTCGTTTTTCCTCTGCCGTGCTTCGGGAGTCAGGCCTGCCTGTCTTCGTGCCCGTTCCAGCTCGTTCCTCCTTTGCCGCTTTTCGGGGGTCGTGGTTGCCTGTCTTCGTGCCCGTTCCAGCTCGTTTTTCCTCTGACGTGCTTCGGGAGTCAGGCCTGCCTGCCTTCGTGCCCGCTGCAGCTCGATTTTTCTTTGCCGTTTTTCGGGGGTCAGGCCAGCATCCTTTCGTGCCCGCTGGAGCCCGTTCTTCCTTTTGCGCTGATCCAGCGTTGAAGACTCGCCTGAAGAGACATCCTTTGATCCTGTAAATTCGTAGAATTAATCAGAGACGTCTTGGTGATACCGTCGCCAGTCGCCTCGCTAGCCGGCGGCCGGGGCCATGGACAAAGAATTCGCGTCGCGAAGGCACTGTTCGGGGTGCCACTTCGAGGGTTCTGGAGGCTTCGGCCGTTTATGATCATTCCAGTTCTACAAGATTTATCTTTGTTTACGGCCGGCGCGGCCTCGGCTGGTTACAATATTTTCAGGTCTACACGATTCTTCTTTGTCTATGGCAGGCGCGGCGGTGGGGTGGGTGGGGGGTTGGGATAGGCGGTGCCACTGCGCTCTATCCCACTACACCCGCACCAGCCCCCTCAGTCCCCTCAAGGAGGACGGCGGCGAGGGGGGAGACGGGGGTGGAAGGGGACGGCAAAGGCGGGAGGCTACTCTCCCCCAAGCGCGGGGTGAGGCGGGGGCTGGCGGGACTGGCGTTTCCGACTGTAGACTGACCTGCTAGTTGTTCTTCGGCTGGAACGCGGCTGTTTGCAGTCTCGGCGGCGTCCTCCTGTTTGGCGTCAGCGCAGTGATGTGCTCCTGCGCCCTCCGTCTGCCCTGAGAATGCGAAAGCCAAATGTTTACTTATGCATTTAACTATCACGACCGGTATCTTTTTTGTCGTTTTTTTGCTACGCTGTTTATACCCTCACCTCTCTGCTTCGAATCTTGCGCAGTGCAAGATGAGCCCTGCTGTTCAGCGTCTCCAGCGTCATCGCCGCGGTTGGCTCGGCCGCGGGCCTCTGCACCCTCCCCTTGATTAACATCATGTGCTGCCGCGAGCAGCAGTCCCGCGAGCAGCAGTCCTGGAAATTATTAAACTGTAGCCGCAAATGCAGGACGCGTCGCGCCTCCCGACGGGGATAACCTCACTGGACCGCGTTCTCGGACGTGGCACTTACTTTTGTCTCGTTTCTCCCGATACAGCTGCCGGGCCCTTTCACGTTTACGCACTCGTTGTTCTTCGGTCAGCTTCCTGGGGGCCATAGCTTAGGCCAATAATTGCCGCTTCACCTGCTTCTTCCCACATATCTTGTCTGTTTACTGGACTCCACACACGTGCAACGCGCTCCTTCAGGCCAGCCGGCGACACTGTTGTTGTTGTGCGGTGCGGGGCCCCCGCTCCCCTCGTCTCCAGCGGCATGCGGCGTCGCCGGCGGCGGTGCCGACCGAGCTCCGAAGGCGATACGAGCTGAGCAGGCCACGCTAGGCCCCTGCTTGAGGGCCGAGCCGAGCCGGCCGAGCCTTGCCTAGGCCTGCTACGCAGCACGCCGCGCCACTGCGCCCTGCGCTGGCGGCGGGGAGGTAGGGGGGGGGGAGGGGGGGAGGGGAAGGGGGAGGGCTAGGCCCCTTGCCTTTTTCCGGCCCAGGCCGGCTTCACGCACGCACAGACGCACGCATGGTCCCGCCCCGCCTCAAGACTATCTCGAGAGTAAAAGCAAGCTGACACCTTCATTACAATTGTATAGCTTGCTCTAGCTTTAGCAACGGTGTCATCTGCTAAAAATTGTGGATCAAAATAGAGAAACAGGGTGAGAAGTAGTTGGGTTCAAATCCCGGCTGGGTATGGTTTATATTTTCCGCCACAGCACTGCTTTTGCGGCAGCGTGTCAAATGGGTGGCCTACCTTGACGGCGCGGCTTTGCAAGCAGGACCAGCATTTCCAGACAATCCTGGCTATAATAATAGGCGCGAAGCAAACACTCGTCTTTCCCGTACCCTCTGCCCTTAGAGGTGCAGTCATGGAGGTAGAATTTCTCTTGGGTGCAGTGCAGTAGCAGTTCCTGCCGTCGAGCCCCCTACCCACCCCAGTGTGACCAATAGGTGCCCTACCTTGGCGGCACATCTCTGTATAAGAGATAGCTTTCCCCTCTAAGATACAAAAGAGTACTCGCCGTCACTGGGGAGTCAAACCCAGGCTCGATCTATAATGCCTCGCATTGAGCTAGTGTTTGAGCGACCGACCGACCCATTGTGGGACCCATTTACTGGGTCTTTGGGCACAAGACAAAGTGTTCCATTGGTAATAAATTTATTTTGCACGTCATTCCAAAGCATCCAATAACAAAATAGTTTAGCATTAAACATATTTACAAATTTGCTTGGAAGGGAAGACATTACTGCTTCAAACACAACAACAAGAATAATGAATCAACAAAGTACAAAGTGAAAATACTCAACGCATACAGCACAAAATCTTCTTAAGAGCTTACCTAGATTGAACAAAAATAATTTCACGATGAAACCATTATGCCACTTGTCATCCTGAAAAAAGTCTTGAAATCCAACCAATCCTAGCAATTTATTCACCAGGGGTTTGGTGCCAATTTCTGACAATGGCTACATAGTTTCATCGTGACTTACTACTGTTCACCCTGGGTAGTTGTAATTTCACACTATTGAGTAAATCTAGTCTCTAGAATAATTTTGTGCCCATTACAACCAAGTATTGAAGCTTTTTGAATGCATCATTATAATTTTTTTAAATTGTAATTATGATGGTTAGTGCCTTTATGACACAGCAGCTGTGTTCAAATGGATCACAGTCAGTAGTTAGTCAAATCCTTAACAAAGATGCACACCTAATGAGACACAATAAGAAAAGTAAAATCAAGATGCAAGAAAAAGTCTTCAAAATGCGTATATTATCATAGGTAGGTATAGCAGTCCTGTCTTTACCTCACTCAATGCTTACTACAAATTCATACACTACTATAATACAGACAAGTCACATTATCTATGCAAGTTCAGAGGATAGTTTGTTAGTAAAGAGAGTATTAAGACTCTTGAGGCGCATTGAGTATTAATCTGAGGGGAATTTCCACATAAACAGTGCAACTTTTTCTTCAATCAAAATATTTTCTTTGAACACAAACTGTTAGAATGCACATAAAATATCATATTTCATCACACTGGGGTTTGGAAAGTAAAACTTAAATATGTACATAACACCTAAAATAATGACTTATATTACAGGCATAAATCACTAGATAACATGAGTGGCAATTGCCAAATGACTTGTAAATAATGCAAGCAGAAGTTTTTCCTAAAATTTACATGGCAATCCCATCTTGTTTAAACATTAATAATCTAGAATGCATACGTCATTGTTTATCTTTCATCCAGATTTTAATCATCACACAAGGGTGGTTCAAAAGGCAAACCAGCAGATCTACCGCAGAACTACTGTTTCTTCCCAGATCACTGCTGACAAAAATTGAAATCAAAACAATTTTCTTTTTTAAAAATCAGAAAAACAATATAAATAAATTGCCGGATATTCCTGCAGGATAACCGACACATGCCTCCCACGGCGAGACCGAAACGGAAACGTGAGGCGCACAAACACGAAGAGAACGAGGATGAACAAATAAATAATTTAAATTTAAAATGTACACTTTGAGTTTGAGCATTGGGTCTACTCCAGCAGGGACAGGGTGCTGTTGGTCTTCCTGAGCTGCGCTCGCCACGGGATGATCTGCGGGGGTTCCCTGTCCCCAGGGCCGCCCTGGCCGTTCTCTGAGCCGCAGTCCGACCGGTCGTCCGCGGCCTGCAGTCCGTTCTGGCCATTCTGGCCGTTCTGGGCGGCGGGCACGCTGTTCTCCTTGTTGCAGTCCTGGAGGTGCTCCTGGTTGCCGGGCTGCTGCTCCTGCTGCTTCGAGGCCTGCTTGGGGAGCACCGCGTCGCCATTCTCCGACCGCGGCTTCTCGTCCACGCGCGGCGTGTAGAGGGAGACCCTGCGCAAGCAAGACGTAGGCATCAGCACACAGCTGAAATGTCAGGAAAAAAGTTGCTGTTTTTTGGCAGTGTACACACGTGCACCGCGCACACGCCCTTCGGGCCGTCGGGCCCTTCACCACCTGTGCTCCGCCCCGCCCCGCGCTATGCGCTGCGCCGCACTCGCCAAATTACACAGTGCAGGCGCCTTGTAACGTCACGACCGCGACCGGCACGGCCAGGGCGGCCAGGACGGCCGGGACGGCGAGGCGAGGAGGGAACAAAGACTAAAGACTCACTTCTCGGTGCCCTCCTCCTTCTTGGCCAGGAGCTGCCGCTTCCAGGCCGGGATGGCGGACAGCCGCTTCTGCTCCGCGTCGCGCTGCAGCTTCTCCTCCATCTCCTTGCGCGCGCGCTCCGCCGCCTTGCGTGCCAGCATCTGCCGCTTCCAGGGCGGGATCAGGTTGCCCGTCGCGTCCGTCTCGGGCACCTGTGCCAATGCAACAATGAAGCAATGCAAACAGGTGTCAACAGGAGCCGCCTGCGCAGTGCTACACACGCAGTGCTACACACGCAGTGCTACACACGCAGTGCTACACACGCAGTGCTACGCAGTGCAGAACCGGCCGAAACGGCGCCTTGCCTACCTTCTCCACGAACTGCGTGGCCGTGAGCTGCTTGCTGATCTCCGAGATGATCTCCTTCTCCTGGCGCTCCTCGGTGCGCGCGCGCTCCACCTTCATCTTCTTGATGCCCGTGATGTCCTTGCTCATCTTGAGCTCGGCGATCAGGTCCTGCTTGTTCTGGTCAGCCGGCCCTGGAGACAGACGGAAAGTAAAGTGAGTTGATGAACCCGAGAGAAGGGCAACCGGGTGAAAGAGGGATTGGACGGTGGCTGCACCTTTCCCGGACTGCAGCATGTTGGCGGGGCCCGGCGGGCGGAGCACGGGGGCGGACAGGGTCTTGGAGGCCAGCGTCTTCCTCAGCTGGACGCTGTTGAGGTCCTGGATGGAGATGGCTGACAGGGGCTGGTGCTGCTTCCTCTGCGCGGTCGGTGACGGCGGTCCAGGCGCGGGGGGCGGCGCGGGGGCGGCGGCCTCGGGGAGCGGCGGCGGCGGCGGGGCCGAGGAGCCGCCCGACACCTCCTGGTAGTGGTCCAGAGCGCCGGACCTGGATAAAGATAAGACAGTGGAATCAGGCAGGTCTCGGAGGGCAGCGGACCGACACGGCCTGGCCCTCGGCGCCCTCGGCCCGGCTGGCCGACGAAAGCGAGCGCGTTGCGCAAGCAGCAAGCCTGGAAGGGAAGGCCCGGACCAGACCCGGCCAGACCCCAACAAAACGAAAACCCCTCAGCCGAGAACTCATCTGCATATCATTACGGCACGGCACGCCGCGGCCATCGCGTCGTTTTGGCGCCGTTTCCAGCGTTTCGTTTCGAAAGTGACGCCCCGGGCTGCGCGCTGCGCCCCGCGCCCCGCCTGGGCTAGCCTGGGCCTCTGGCCTGGGCCCGCCGACGACGCCGCTCGTTTGGCACTTCCGGTCAGGGAAGGCCCACCTCGGCGTCGTCGGATTCATCGCCGGAACAGGAAGACAGCGCGGACGCGCAGCAGCCAGGAGGCTGCAGTGCCCAGCAGTTGAGCTGGGAACGCCGGCGTTCGTCCGCGACCCGCGGGCCCACGTCCACCATTAGCAGCGACACCGTTACACGAGCATGCGCGCCAACCACGGCAACATTTGGCGGCCGGGCAGGGACTGGCACAGCGCGGCAGCTGGACGGAGCCCCACATGGTGTGCTCCAGCTTGCGCTCCAGCTTGTGCTCCAGCTCGAGATTCGTCTCGGCCTCGAACTCGGTGCCGGTACCGCGCGGTACCGCCAGTGTCGGGTACTTTCTTCGCAGCAGTACTCGCGTGCGTGAAGCACAGGACGCCGCGCTGAGACGCGCCGCCGGCCTGGCGCGGCCTGGTGCTCTTCACGGCGACGTGGCCACGGAGTGCAACGAGTGCCACACGTGAAACGCCGTGGCCTACTGCCAGTGGCGTGCGCACAAAATTTGAAAAGCCACGCGTTTACCCATTTAACAAACAGGATGCGTCGCAATTTGCGTAACTTTCAGGCAACCGAATCGGGGCCTTCCGTGGGCAAAAGGGGGGGGGGCAACTTCTTCCCCCTATGCACGGGCCAAATGCGTGCCCACGGCCCTGCAGCAAAGCTCGTGGGCTAGGTCCAGGTGCAGTAATGGGTAGCCAAGCAGGGCCCAAGAGAACGGTCCGGCGGGGCGGGCGCGGCCCCGTGCGAGGCGGCTGGCCTGGCCAGGCTGCGTTCAGGACAAGGTCTCTGTCGCACAGCAGCGGGTGTGTCGGACCTTCTGTTCGGCGACTCCTTCGACGCACTCAGTGGCTGCTTGCTGTTCTTGACTCGGCGCCGGCGACTCCGGCTCCCAGCCGGCATTCCGTCTGTCTGCCGTGCCTCGGCTGATCTGCACCTCGTTGGCGATCGGACGCGTTCGGCTCACTCGGTAACCTTCGGACATCGGTATCCGCCGATGGCTTTCTCGGACCTCTCTCTCGCACAGTGTCGCTGCGGCGGAGGCGAGCTACAGGGGTTCGCCAACGGGTCCCGATTCCGGCCTCTGCTTTCAGGCACCTATCGCCTAGTGACAAAAAGGGAGGGGGGGTCATACATCTCCCCCTTTTTGCACGCCACTGCGTGCCACGGCGTGGCAGCACGCTCGAGGGTCAACGTCCAGGCCAGTAATGTTAACAAGCAGCCAAAGAAAGGTTCGGCGGGGTGGGGCGCGGCGCGGTGGGTATGGCGGTCTGGTCCTGGTCCAGGGGAGGTGGACCGGAACTCTTCGCGTGCAGCATCGCCGGGCAGCGCCGAGCCTTCCACCGCCACCTCCCCGCTTTCACAGTGCGGCAGTCAAACCCGGCAGCCGGACGAATCCAGGATCCCGTCGGAACATTCCCCGCCGACGCAGCGACGCACTCGTGCGCGAGGCCCGTCGCCTACCTCGCCGTCACGCCGTTCACACTCACCTGTTGAGCCCTGCGATGGCGTTCTGCAGTCCGGCAGCCAGGCCCGAGGGCGGTGGCGGCGCGGGGGCTGCGGGGGCGCCGGGCGCCGTTGGGACGCAGGGCGGCGTGGTCGCGCTGGGCGCGGCGGGGGCGGCGACCGCGGCGAGGCTGGGCGGTGCGGGGGCGGCGGGGGCCGCGGCGACCAGCGCCGGGAGGGGGATGGCGATGAGGGGCGCGGCCGGGGCGCCGGGGCCGCTGATGGAGCGCAGGTACTCGCTCGGCTTGATGAGGTGGTTCGAGTCGGCCGAGTTGGACGGGAACTTGGGCGGGATGAACGGCAGCGCCAACTGCTTGTTGACCAGCGCGTGCGCGCTCGCGCCCGGACCTGCGGGAAATCAGAAACGAAATCCTCCTTTACTTCAGTTTCATCGGCGCCTCCGGTGGTTCATTTTTACAGTGTTAACCGTGCTTTGGTACAGACGCCAAGGTGGCGGGGAAGGGTTGAACCCGGTTGCACCTAAGGTTGGACCGACGATGAGATGATAATGGCCTTCTCCAGTGAGACTGCTTGCAGTTAGTCACTGTGATATTCCAGCAAAGTGCGAACGCCGGCGCATGTATGTACAAGCTGCAGGCAGGGCGCAGCAAGGCGCGGCAAGGCGCGGCAAGGCGCCACCGCCACCCATGACGGCGCACACTGGCGCACACTGGCGCACACCCGCTTGGCGCCGCTCGCGTCGGGAAAAAGCTCAGCGAAAGTCACTTCCATGCTCGCCGCCCCGCGCGGTGCGCAGGCCGCGGGGCTGCAGCCTCAAAGCCTCGAAGCCTCGAAGCGCAGAGCGGCGGAAAGCTCGCAAAGCGCCACAAAGCTGCAGCCAGCTTTGACGGTCGCAATAAAACAGGGAAACAAACAGGCCTGCCGACCGCACCGCGGTGCGCGCACCCCACCCGTCGCGCTGCAGAAATATGTGCACGTGTTCCCTCATCCGCGTCGCCTCCAACTTTTCCAGCAAGCAGTGTACGTACAGTGCAGTCGCGCAAACATTTTTGCATGGGTCTGCGGCGGCCGACAGGGCCGGGCGGCACTGGGTCACGAGTTATCGGCTCTAGACAATGAGGTGTATTTATTGAGGGCGTGTCGGCGTGCAGGCGGAAACGCGGAGCCGCGGAGCGGGCGCCCATCGGCCGAGAAGGGCGATTGACGTGATGGGCCGACGGGGCCGATGGGGCCGGCGACGGGTCGGGTCGAGGAAGGGCGAGGCCGCCGTCGAGGCCGCCGAGGCCGCCGAGGCCGTCCGCGCGGCCCAAGGCCCGGCCGACACGCCCCGGCCGAGATAGCCGTGTTGACGGCGGCGTGGCAGTGCCGGCAGTGCAGGGTGCAAGCAGTGGCGTTCACCCCGTTCGCTGGGCAAACAGTGAACGCTGCGGCCGAAGGAGGGAAGGGTGCTCCGATAGCGGCGGCTGGGTCGCTCCGATCAGTGCCTCCGGCGCTCTGTCTCTCTCGCACTCATGGTGCGTCCCGTAGAGGTCGGAAGAGACATAGCGATGAACCGACAGTTCGGAGTCAGTCTACAGTGCAGCGACAGCGCTCAGCCGGTCACCGCGGCCACCCTGGGTGCGCCTCCTTCCCGCCCCTGTTCACCGTGTAGGTAGTGCAGTGCCCGCGGCAGAGGAGCAGAGAAGTGCGGCGAAAATGAGCAGAGCTTTCTCCGCCAGGCTGCCAGGCTCCGTGCGGGGCAAGGAGCGCGGAGCTACACGTCATGCTCGGCCGCCTACCTTCAAAAGTGCGCGCTCCGCCAAGACGGGCCTACGTCCTGGCACGTGCAAAAATACTGCAGGAAGACCGTCACAAACCTCACAGATAAAAAAAATCACTGAAAATAAAAAGTCCGCCGATTTGAAAGGGGTGCACAAGAGTGTCCAATTTTACACTACAGTATCCGAACATCGCTCCACTGACGCACCACACACTCAGATATGGTACATCTCAGGCAAGCCTCTAACTACATCCAGACTATTTACGTACATCGTGCAGCCACAACCAATCAGTGTACAGAATCATGACAGGGTGTACCTTGACGCGCGTTGACGCGCCTACAGTGCGCACCACTACTCAGCCAGACCAGCACTACAGTGCAGCAGTGCTCGCATGCCGCTCCACCTCGCGCACCACGACGTCGACGTGCTCGTCCAGGCGCCGTCCAGGCGCCGTCCAGGGCGCCGCGTGCTAGTCTGTACACTACTGCGCCGCAGGGCCTGCAGGGCGCACTCACCGCTGCACGGCGTGGACACCTCCGCCTCGTCGGCGGGCTCCTGATCGGCGGCGGCGGCTGCGGCGGCGTAGTGGCTGTTGGCGATGATCTCGGCCGCGACGACAGAGCACTGCGCCTGCACGCCCTGCACCACGACTGCGGCAGACAGTGGCCCTGACAAGGGGGTGTGGGGGTTGTCGTCGAGGAGACGGCCGCAGCGGTATCGCCGGAGCGCGCTCAGCACGGCACTCAGCACGCCGCTCAGCAGGGCCAGCAGCGCGGCGGGGCCACGCGGCCACAGCACAGCCAGGGCCTCGGCGGGGCCGCGACGGGGCCTACATCCCTGGGGGCCAGCGGCCACTTCTTGACGACGCAGGGCACCGCGAGGCGTGCGCACGCGGACGACACAGTGGGGGCTGCTCGCGGGGCTGCTCGCGGGGCCGGCGCGGCGCGGTCTCTCGGTGGCCCTCTCGGCGCGACCACCAGCACGGGAGTGCAGCAGCCGAGCCGAACGGAGCCCCAGGAGGGGCCCAGGGAGGGGCTCAGGAGGGGCCGCTGCCTCCACGGCGCCTAGGCCAGCGACGGCGGGAGGGGAAGGGGGCGCCTACTACGGTACGATGCACCCCGACCGAAAGCCAACCACTCACACTCGGACTCACACAGTCACACCGGCGGACGCACGCTCGCGCGCGCACGGACACGCACACGCGCACGGCGACGCGATGAGTAACGTCGTCGCCTCGCAGTAACATCACATGCGGTGCGCACACACACTCTCAGACTCTCGCTTTATGCCTGCTCCAGTCAGACTCGCGACAGGAGGCTGATGCACTAATTAAGCGTCGTCGGCGAGACGCCGTGCGAGGACGCCGTCGTTCCACGGGGGGCTGCCGTGCAGAGTATGGCTGGTAAATCACACGCGAGGTCGCCGCCGTCGAAAGGGGGACGGCCGGCGCGGCAGCCCTAATTGTCGCCGTGCTTGTACCTTTTCGAGCGTGCACTGTATTCTTTATTGTCGGACCGACGGCCCGCTGCCGCCCGCTGCACGCCGCGCTGCAAGGCGCCGTGTCGCAAGTTGAATCAGAGCCTCGGGGGTTCGGGCTTGGCCAGGGCTTGGCCAGGGCTTCGCCAGGGCTTCGGGCCGCGGCGACGTTCCACTCCTCGGTGACCTTTGCCTCCTCGGTGAATGTGTTGGCGTCACGCCGGTCACATAAAGGTCCCCCTTCGCTTCCACGACCGGCGGTTGGGCGCTGCAGCGCTGCAGCGCGCTGGGCGGGGCCGAGTGGGATGGCTAACTGCTGCCGCGCCTCGGCGAAAGGCAGGCGACAGCGGGGCGATATTGGGCAGGGCCGTCAGGGCACCGAGGCACCGAGGCACGGTCGCCGCCACCCCGAGCCGCACCACGCAGTGCACTCAGTGCAGTACGGAAAGTTGCACATAAACCGCTATGCACGCCAGGCTCTCCGTTTTTCTAAAGCGCTCCGGACACGAGAGTCGGCGGTGTGCTCGCCGGACACCCCGCCCCCGCCGCCACGCCGCCCCACAGCGATAGACCATCGCGGCGTGGCGGAGAGGCACTAGAGGCACCAAGGACGCCGCGCCGCGCCGCGCGTTGCCGCGAGGGTCCACCGACGTCGAAAGTGCGGTATGGACAGCCGGCCAGCGGAAAGCGAGAACGGTGTTAAACGCATGCTCGCCGACGTGGAAATCAGTAGCGCGGCGGGCGGGGCGCCTCTCGGGCGCCTCTCTGGCGCCGTCCATGGTGATGGCGTGCATGATGATGCCGCGATACGGCGATACCACTGCGCCGCCAAGGGACCGCCTGCCAGCGCGCGCGCCCCGAGGCCCGCCCGGGCTGCCATGCCGCTCCACCGCTCCGTGGACGCCGCTACTTTTTTCCTCGCCGTTTTCGGCTGAGCCGCGCCGCGCATCACTTTCCGTTTCGTCTTGCCTCGCCGTCCGCACGTCCGCGTGGCCCCCCGCCCGGCCGGCCCGGCCGCGGTATGGCACCGCCATGGCACTGCGCTGCACTACACGGTCATTAGCGCCGGGGCACCGGGCCGTGCCCGCGCCGTGCCCAGCCGCGCCAACGCGCCAACGCGCGCGCTAAACCCAAGCCGAGCGAAACACCCGGCTCTAATCCACGGGACTTTCTTTTAAAAATGCATGCGAGCCGCGGAGAGAAAGAAGACCCAGTGTGGGGAACGAATACCCCGTGAAGAACGAACACCCCGTGTGGAGAGAGAGACCCCGCGATGACGCGGACCAGTGTGGTCTCGCCGACGGACTCCCCGACGGAGGGACCACCGCGACGCGGATTCGCGGATACGGCACCCCGCGACGGCACACGGCGCTCTACTCCCGGAAGCACCGAGCGGCCATTAAGCCTGATCAGGCCTACCAGAGCACGGCGCTGGCAAACCACACAGTTAATTAATTGCAGCCTCTCGGCCAATCGCATGCTCTGATTGCCCCGGGCAGCCCCCGGCGGCAGCCCCAGGCGGCCCAGGCCCAGGCCAGGGACTCGCGGACTCTGGTGCTCCGGTCCGGCAGGGGTTTTCACCTGCGACTCCTCCTGGTCGCGCTGTGCGCCGCTGCGCCTCCAGTGATGTAAGCGACTGCGCGCATGTGTGTCGCTCCCGTTGCGAAACTAGCATGCGCACCCCGGTTTTAGTGCTCTTTCCGTTTCAAATCTCTGGTTCCCAGCTCGCGAGCGCGAATTTGAGCCCCAGCATCGTGGTGGAGCCAGTCAATCCGTCGAATGGAGGTCGCTCAGCAGCAGCTCGGCGGGCTTGGCGGAGCGCGGCGCGCTGATGGCCTGATGCAGCAGATCTGCCGGCGGCACCTCGCAGCTGGCCGCGCCCGGCGCCACACACCGTGCAGGCCGAGCAGGCCGAGCAGGCCGCCAGGCTGGCGTGGCCGGACAGTCGTATGCATAAAGCCGAACGGAACGGACGAACGGCCAGCGGTACGCACGGCTGTACAACGCACGGCGGTACGCACGGCGGTACGCCAGGCCTTTACGGTGGGGCGTCATCAAAGCAGCGTCCGGCGGATTAAGGGGGCACACCAGTGAAAATCGTCAAATTTTTGCCTTCTTTTTTATTTTATCTTATTTTTATGCTATTCATTCCGAGTCGAATGCCGCAAACCCCACCCCAAAATTCCAATTACTTTGGCTTGTGCACATTTTTGAAGTTGCTAAAAAGGTTATTATTTTTGGATATTTTAGACCAATTGTGAACGTTCAGGTTTTTCACTTAAAGTTTAATTACAAAACCCTTGAACCACCCAAACGCAGTTAAAAAGAGGGTCATTTTGGCGCAAAACGAACTTAAATACTTCAAATGGCGCATTTATAATCCAAAAAAACACGTCAAATCTATGTTTCTACTAAAAGGGCTTTTTCTCAAAACACCTTTTTTGTACCTTTGTGCCACTCTCACGGGAGCAAAAATTGAGATAAATTAATGCGGTTTGCAGCAAAATGTTCGTTAAACTTGCGTCTATGGTCTGAACCTCGGAAATGATCATCCCATAAATAGGACGTGAGCTGCAGCCATGAAAGCGCAAAAAATTTGGTTAAAAAATTTGTTTCTATTTTTGCCTTTTGAAAAAACATATTCAAAATCATTCTTTTTTGCATGCCCGTGGTTCAGACCATAGCCACATGTGTCCTGTTGAGAAATTTTCAAACCCCGTGCTCGAGGCTTAATCCAGAGAGGCGGAATCGTGGCAGGAGTGAGACGAGGTCGCAGAAAAATGAAGTGCACTGGCGCTCCGTCTTGCCATCGCCACCCCACCCTCCCATACTGATTTTTCTTTTCTTTGATATAATTTTGAGCCAAGAATAAAATATCAATCGAATACGTAGGTAACTTTTCTCAGAATGATAGTTTTTCAAAACCTCTACATTTTCACTGGTGTGCCCCCTTAACGAAAGGAGAGCATCTGGAATATCGTACCGCGCCGCGCCATCGGCAGCAGACTTCTCGAGACTTATCATCGCGACCCAGATGCCCAGCCCTGGTGCGGCCCTGACGCAGATCGGCGGCAATCGCCCTTCCCCCAGCGCCCTGCCCATCCAACCGCCCAAACTGGGCGATCAAATTGCGAAAACTGAAAAGCAAGTTCTTGCTTCTGGCCGCTGCGGCCCGCAGCCGCCACTCTCGTTTTGCGTTTCTCCGCCACTGTGATGGCCGCTCGCCTCGCCGATCCGCGGGGACGAAATTCATGACCACGTTTTTCATGCACGCCTCCATGCGTCTGCCTTTTAATATGACAGGCCTCGTCCGGGTGGGGCGCCCCATGGGATTCGCGTCGCGTCGATGATACGCTGCAGTGACGGGCGATGGCGCCGTCAGTCACTTCGGCGGACTGTCGCTGTTCGCCAGGCAGGCAGCCAGCAGAGCCAGCAGCCAGCCCGCATTGATTTCCCTCCGCTGCGAGCACCCCAGCATCCGCACCGCACTACTCCACTCCGCCCCGGAGACACCGCGCCGCGTCCCTTCCTAATGTTTACGCGCAACGACTCATGATTGCGGCGGCGCCCTGGCCGTCCTGGCCGTCCTGGCCGTCCTGGCTCGGTACGCGGCGCGCCTGCAGACTGATTCCGCACTGCCGTTTCATCGCTCTGTCTCCGTCGCACTCGTGTAGGGGTGCGAGAGGGACGGACCGACGAAGCGACGCGCGGCACTGGCAGCGACACCCGGTCCGGCCGACTGCAGAGCACAGATTTGCAAAGGAGGTTGACGCGGACACTTGAGGGAGAGCAGGAGGCACGGGCTCGGCTGCAGGGCTGCAGGCAGGCGCCGATTACTTTCCGAGCGCGACACGCGTTACGCCACGACGGCAACGTGCACGACGGCGAGCACCCTGCCACCGGGACTGCACTGCACGGCAGGCGCGGATCCAAAGGGGGGGCGATGGGGGCGTCGCCCCCCCCCCCCCGAAGGCGGCGAAGCCGCCTGAAAGGTAGGCAAAAAGTCGCACATAACCCCTGTAGGTAGGCAACTTTCACGACGTCGCCCCCCCCTGAACCCGTCCCTGGATCCGCCCTTGCTGCACGGACGGCGACGACTTCCTCGTCCTGTACAGCGCACACACTGCGGCCTGGTAAGTGGCCAGTAACAACCACAGCAACAAGCAAACGAAAATGAGAACGAGAGGCCACTGTAATACGACCGGGCGGCTGGCAGGAGAGCGCGAGCGCGCCGCCCGAGTGGGCCGGGCGCATCGTTCCGATCCGACGCGGCTGCTGGATGGGCTGCCTACCCACGAGGCGCACCGCCGCTCCAGCGCGGCCGCTTGCAGCGCTGTCCTGCAAAGGCTTGGTGACGTTCTCGCGACAGGAGACTCCTCAACAATGGCTTACCCTGGCCGTCGTCGTAGTCCACCTCGACGCCGTCCTCGGCGTCCTGGGGGACGCGGTCTGCCGACTCACTGGACGGCGGGGGAGGCGCTCGGCCCAAGGCGGGCGAAATGCGCGGCCCGGGAGGTAGTTGCGGACCAGCGGGGGCGGACGACGGCGACGGCACTGCGGGGGTGGAGTGCTGGGGCGGACTGGGGGCGGCGCTCGGGGGCGACAACGCGAGCAACGGCGCTGGTGGTGGTGGCGGCGGCGGCGGCGCGAACGACCCGGGCTCCGAGACGACACGCTTCAGCGCCCTGTGGCAGACACACCTCATGAGTCAGCCGCCCGCTCTTCGTCGCGGTCGTGACCACCACTAGCGTGCACACTGTGCACACGGCGCGTGCTCTCACCGGGAGGAGTGCTGCGGGTGCGGCAGGGAGTGCTGGGAGTGCCCGGGGCCGTGGCTGCCGTGCGTCCTCTCGCACTCATCCTCGGAGTGGCCGAGGTCCGAGGGAGAGCCGCTCGACACGCCCGACTCTGCAACAAGGAGGCCGTTAGCATGACGTCACCGCGGCCTGCGAAGCCTTCACTGGTTTCACAGTGCAGGTCCACGAACCTGTGGACGCCGCGATGGACTTGTCCTCCTGGCCCACGTCGGCGGCTCGCCGTTGACCCGATACGTGGCGGAGGGGCTGCTCGTGCTGGCCATGCACTACGCCGTTGACGTGCCCGTTGATGTGGCCGTTGGCGTGCCCGTTGATGTGGCCGTTGGCGTGCCCGTTGGTCAGGGTGCCGTTGACGGCCTGTGCCGACCCGGCCGAGGACACGGAGCCCGACCTGGAGCCGGACCGCGAGTGGCTGCCCGAGTCTCTGGACGTGGAGCGCCGCGACACCCGGGCGTGTCCCGCCTGCAACAGGGATGGCGTCAAACACGAACACACGGCACTCGCAGGGCACTCGCCCCTCAAACCGTCATGCCCTAACCAACTCATGATTTTCATGTACACTGATTATATTTAGAGTATGATTACATGTGATTTCTTTTGATTATTTTACTATTTATCACTGATTAGAGGAGGTTATTATGTTGATTATTGGGAAATATTGGGGATTATTTGAGCGCCGACCTCGGAAAGCTGTTAAAGTGTCGGAAATTCAATATTGGTGACTTTGGGGAGCCACTGTGTCAAATTTAGTTGCGGTCATAGGCCTTCCTCGACGCCTTACTGTTCTCAAGACCCTACTCTTTTATGCCCTGCCTCGGGAAGGCTCTGACCGCTGATAATTTGGGAGCAGTGGTCTCGCAAAAATGGTCAAAAAGTGAATGAATTTAAGAAAATTACCGTTTTTGCTCACTTTGAGCGGTCACTACATCCAATTTAGTTGCGGTCAAAGGCCTCCCTCGACGCCTTACTGTTCTGAAGACCCTACTCTTTTATGCCCCGTCTCGGGAAGGCTTTGACCGCTGATAGTTTGAGAGCAGTGGTCTCGCAAAAATGGTCAAAAAGTGAATGAATTTCAGAAAATTACCGTTTTTGCTGACTTTGAGCGGTCACTACATCCAATTTAGTTGCGGTCAAAGGCCTCCCTCGACGCCTTACTGTTCTGAAGACCCTACTCTTTTATACCCCGCCTCGGGAAGGCTTTGACCGCTGATAGTTTGGGAGCAGTGGTCTCGGAAAAATGGTCAAAAAGTGAATGAATTTCAGAAAATTACTGTTTTTGCTGACTTTGAGCGGTCACTGCATCCAATTTAGTTGCGGTCAAAGACCTTCCTCGACGCCTTACTATTCTGAAGACCCTACTCTTTTATGCCCCGCCTCGGGAAGGCTTTGACCGCTGATAGTTTAGGAGCAGTGGTCTCGCAAAAATGGTCAAAAAGTGAATGAATTTCAGAAAATTACCGTTTTTGCTGACTTTGAGCGGTCACTGCATCCAATTTAGTTGCGGTCAAAGGCCTCCCTCGACGCCTTACTGTTCTGAAGACCCTATTCTTTTATGCCCCGCCTTGGGAAGGCTTTGACCGCTGATAATTTGGGAGCAGTGGTCTCGCAAAAATGGTCAAAAGTGATTGAATCCCCGAAAGTATGATTGTCATTTCATTGGATGATGTTGATTATTTCACTGATTGCCAACTAGTAGACGTGCAATGATTATCTTGAGTTGGGTTTGGTCATGCCCCCAGCTCACCTGGCCTTGCTGCGACTGCTCCCGCACTTGGTAGATGTCCTCGTAGTCGTGGAGCCCCGCGGACCGCTCGGACGCGTCGGACGACGACAGGTTCTCCTCCGAGCCCGCGCCGGAGCTCCCGGAGCTGGAGTGCACCTCGACTTTCACTGCGAACAGAGACAAGTGCTTGCTGCAGCGGCAGATGCCACCCGGCCACCCTCGACGGACGGTGGCACAGCGGCGAGGCCTCGGACACACCGCCATCAATCATAGGGCCGAACGCCACGGCCGCTGCGTAGCCGCCTAGGTCGAGAGCGAAAGTAAGGAGTCCCTTTTACGATCGGGGTCCCTAGTCCCAACGATACGGGCTCGGGGCTTGGCACTTGTCTTTTCACTTTCCGGCGTAGGGCAACCACCTAGGGACTCATCGAAAGTGCGGCGCCGCCTTGCTGCCGGCTTACGGCTTGCATCATGTCCGCCGCCGCCGTCTCCCGCCGGCTTTGGTTTGGCGCGGACAAAGCCGACCGCGACGTCGCGTTACGCGGCCCGGTGCGCCAAGCCGCCAAGCCGCCAAGCCTTACCTTTGAACCCCGTGGGCTGCGTCTGGTGCGGCGGTGGAGGCGGAGGCGGGGCGGCGTTCGGAGGCCCGCCGTTGTTGTGGGTTCCGGGCGGCTTGTTGCAGCCCGCCGCGCCGTCGAACAGGGTCTTCACTCGGCTGGGCACCCCGTCGCGGTCGCGGGGGCTGTGCAGGTAGAAGGACTCCCTGACGCGGTCCTCCGAGTGGCTGCGGTTGCTGTGGCCGTTGGAGTGGCCGTTGGAGTGGCCGTTGCTGTGACTGCTGGCCCGGTGTCGCCCGTTCGAATAGCCATTGTGGCCGCCGTGGCCGCCGTGCCCGTTGACATGCCCGCTGTGTCCGTTGGTGTGTCCGTTGGTGTGGCCGTTGCTGTGCGGCGCCGACGAGTGTCTGCGGTGCTGGCCGTGGTGCTGGCCGTGGTGGTTCATGGGGTTGACGTAGAGGCCGTCGCCGGGCGCGGGTGCTCCTAGCGAGCCCAGCACCACGCCGGGGCCGTTGGCATTGCCGTTGGCATTGGGGCCGTTGGAGGGCGGGTGGAGGTAGAAGGGCTCGCGGGAACTGCTGTAGTTGACGCAGTCCGCGTAGGAGCACTGCAAGGAATCAGACGGATATCAGAAACAAATGAAAAGAAAAACAAAAAAAAATGGGCATTTACATGGAGGTGAAGTTCGTCACTGACTTTGGAGTGAGGGTCGCCCTTCCTGCAGGTGCAGCCGTGCAGCTTGCCGTTGGCGAGGCGCGCCTCGTCGTAGTAGTCCGGCGTCGTGCCGTGCTGCACCAGCACGTTGAGGCACTCCATCTGCTGGTTCTCGGCCGCGTCGTTGATGGGGCTCTTGCCGTGCCGGTCCAGCGTGAGCCGCGCGCCGTGCCGCAGCAGCCACCGCACCGTCTCCACGTGGCCGCGCGAGGCGGCGAAGTGCAGCGGCGTGGCGCCGTCGCCGTCCCGCAGGTTGGGGTCCACGTTCTGGTCCTGGACCTGTCGGCAACCAGTCAGTTTCCTGTTCAGTTACCCTAACGCCTGCGAGGTAGGCCGTCCCGGTGCACATCCGTGTACTGCAGCGGCCTACCCACCATTACTATTACCATTACGGGCTAGACCACAACTGATCGTATGCCATTTAGGTAGGCGCCAAGCCAGGGTCAGTTTCCTGTTCGGCGGCCCTAAACGCCTGCGAGGCAGGCCATCCCGTTGCACGCCCCTGTCTTGCAGCGGCGGCACCAAGCCAAATTTAGTTTCCTCCACCACGTCTCGTTTTGGAGTGCAGGCGAGCCTGTGTCGGGCCCGAAACGGCATACGATCATGTGTGGTCTAGCCCGTAATGGTAATGGTAATGAGACCCTTAAACGCCCCCGTCGCACACCCGTGTGCTGCCGCGGCCTACCTCCCAGGCGCTCTAACCAAGCAAGCAAGCAACAGCCGGCAGTTCGGAGTGGTTCGGAGTGAATGGCAACGGTAGAAGGTACAGACCCTTATTTTTTTCACTTTTACCCCGCTTTCCTCTCCGTTCCTCCACGAAGAACCACTAATCGGCGTCGCGTCTCGCGCGCGACAAATTTCCTCGTTTCTTGTTAAAGCAACAGCAAACTCCGGAGGGGCAATCGACGAGGAAAAAAGACAACAACAACACGGTGCGATCCAAGTACAACAATAACTGCAGGGACTTGGTCGCGGCGATGGAAACCCGTCCCGATTCCGGCCAGTCTTCCCCGATGCGCTTAATTGCGCAGACAGCCCTGCTGCCTCCACGGCGGGAGATTTGATTGATCGTTTAGCAGCAAGACGACACGCGGGCAGCAAAGTCTGCAGCTCACTCGCGGAGCGCTGATTCCGAACAGGGATTTCGTCGCGCTGCCTCTCTCGCACTCTTAGCGCGTCCCCTCAGGGGTGTGAGAGAGACAGAGCGGCGAGAGCACTGCTAGCGGACGGGACGCAAACAACGTGAACGTGCACGGATCCCCGCCTTGCAGTGCCTTGCAGTGCCCTGCCCTGCCTTCCAGTTGTCAGGGCACTGCCCGAGTAGGCCACCAGGTCTCCGCGCGGCGACGCCTGATCAGCAAGAAACACGCCGTCGGCTTGGACAGCAGGAGGAGGCAACGCCGGGTGGACGGACACCCTTGCTTTTCTGGGAGTTCTTGACGCCCACCTTGCAGCTACCGCGCACGGACGCCCTCCAGGCGGGCTGTGCGTCGTCCGTCCCGCTCCTGGTCCCGGTGCTGCGCGTCGTCACGACGCCCGCTGCCGGCGCGTCGGTCCAGCGTGGCGCTCCAGCGTCGCCGCGCACTCCGGGGCCAGAGGGCCCGGCGCCGGCACGTCGCCCCGCACCTCGAGGTGCACCACGACCGCGCGGCACGTCGGCGTCGGCGGCGTGCACACGACGCGCACCAGGAGGCCGTCCGCGCGCGAGGAGAACGTCAGCACGTCCTGCGACGCCGCGAGACGGGCGTGCCCGAGGGCGTGCCGCGCCCCCAGCATCGCGGCCTCGCCGACGACCAGCGCCGCGGTACCCACTGTACGTAACCCAAGCCTGCACGACGTCCGCGGTGCCGGCGGCCGGCTGCTCTACTGCCCGGCTTGCGCGCTTGCGCCACCCGCCGACGGGGAAGAACACGGTGAGATCGCGCGTCAGCGACCGGCGTGGAGGTGTCGCCTCCACCGTCGCCAAATCCGACCAGCCATCGCGCTGCCGATTCAGCTATTGTCGTTCTCCGGCACGCCCGGCCTTGAACTTAGGACGTTGCCCACCCCGCAGGGGGAAAAAATATTAGTTGGTCCAACCGATGTTTCGGTTGGTTGGCTCTGGTCCGGCCCAACAAAGATATGTTTTGTTCCAGTAACAAAAATTGCGTTCGAAGAGCGAAAATTCGTTAGAAGAGCGGAAAGTTCGTTGCAGCAGTGAATCCGTAGGTTGGCATGACCGAATTTAGAGGCCGCTATTGCAACGATCCAATTTGCTGCTGCAACGATAGATTCGTTAAGGCAACAAACTTTTCTGCTCTTCTGCCGAAATTTTCGTTAGTGGTACGGAACATCTAGTTGGGCCAAGACCAACCGACGCATTGGTTGGGCTAACTAAATTTTTGTTGGACTCACTAAGTATTTTTTCCGTGCGTCCACGGTACTCACCATCCACTTGAGGCAGGCCAGGCAGCCCATCTGGGCGGCGGCGTGCAGCGGCGCCATGCCATCCTTGGCGCGGACGTACAGCGACCCGCCGGCCGCCACCAGGTAGCGCAGCACGTCCAGGTGGCCCTCCTGCGCCGCCAGGTACACCGGGGTCACGTCATTGTCCATCTGCGTGTTGGCGCTGCGGAGAACAAGGTCGACGTCAGTACAGGTCCTCGTACCCGAAGAGCCGAGGTTCGAGGCGGTGGCCTCTCGGGTGGCCTCCACGTGGAGGCTCCGCGGCGTTTCGCCGCAAAAAGCCGCACCAAAGGCACGCCGCGGCCCGTCCCTCCTTAAAGCGAGCCGCTCGTTTGGGCTTGCGGTGGCGGCGCACATCGCAGTGCACATGCAGGCTGCGCGGCTGCGGCCCGCGAAAGCGCAAGTGCTTCATTGGCGGGCCTTTTCCAGTTTCGGTGACAGCGGTGACATTCCCCCTTTCCCTCTCCGCCACCGCCGCCACCGCAGACACGTGGGGGCTCAGTCAGCGCACTCCGCGGGAGTGGGGAGGGCTCGGCCCGCCGTGCTGCTGTGTGGTTCAAAAGAGCGGTTCATCGGCCTGCCTCTCTCGCACTTCAACAGAGTGGCCGATGTGTGCGACAGAGACAGAGCGACGCACCGACTCTCCTGCCCGGCGCGCGGATCGCGGCGCGCGGATAGCGGCACGCGCTTCGCTAGCTTCGCTCTCCGTCGCGCACGCCTCGACAGTGACGCGTCCGCCGCACTTTACTTCCATTTTAATTAAAAGCGTAATGAAGGCCGTCCCCGTTTGGCAGCCCCCGCCACGCCCGGCACTCGGCGAGGCACTCGGTGGAGGCACTCGGCACACGGCCGGCCGCGGTCAGCGCCGCGCCGCTCATGAAGTGCCCCGGGCCGGACCGTCCGCCGCGCCCCGCCGCGCGCCGCCACGTCGCGCGGCCTGGCCTGCAGTGTGCCTGCAGTGCCGGTACGGCGCGCTGCCCCGCGCTGCCCCGCCAGGACGGCCCGGCGGCTGGCTGCTGCCGGCTAGACGGTGCTAGACGGCTACCCGCGACGGGGACGGCTGCAATTTAGAGCCGCAGGGTAATAACGCTGATGGGAAAACGGGAAAAGCGCGGGGGAGAGCTCGCTGCGGGCGGCGTCCAGAGACGTGCGAATGGTTCCTAATCGAATTGAATCGAATCGAATGGATCCTAATTCGATTCGATTATTTGAATTCGGTTAACTCATTCCAACACCTAACCAGTCTTCTTTAGTCTTAAGATATCATTGTCCGGGTGCTCAGCGCTGCTTATCGCTGTCGGGCTGACCGATGCCACTGCCTCGGCCTCAACTGCTACTTCTCGCTACAACTGCTATGTGCATTGCTGCATTTGCATCAGCTTTGGTAAGTCTAATTGCAAAACTGTTGGCTGCGATCGAGAGTCAAAGCTAGCTGATTTAACAATCATCTGCTAAAAATTGATTAGATTTGGAAAGGAGCCAGCGTGCGTGTGAACCACGCCACACGCACGCTCACATCCATCAAACCAGAGGCCTAGATTAGTGACAAGCGGGCCAACCTCGAAGCATCTCGCTCACTGATCCCGAAGCCCAGCAGTGGGTCCAGACTACGTCCCGACGTGCCGTTCGGGTCCGCTTGCCGCTCGGAGGCTTTTCGCTCGGAGGCCCCGTGGCGCCGCGCGGCACGGCTCGGCGATGAGCCCAAACAACAATTATGCCCTTGGCAGTCGTGTCGCGCGCCTCGCCGCGCCCTGCCCTGCCGCGCCCCCTGATTCGGGTCAAGGCAGCACTCAGCCCTGCGGTGCTGTGCTGCTGCAGCCTGCCTGCAACCTGCTCCACAGCGCGCACCTGCCCTGCCACCTAACGAGCTCTATGGCGGCCGGGAGAAAACAGACGGCTGCGGCGCGCTCTATATCGGCAGCAGTAGGAAGCGGCAAGGCGGTGGCAAGACGGTTGCAAGGCGGTGGCAGAGGCAATGGCAGTGGCAGTCTCCGCCTGCCGCATTTCGTCTGTGCCCGACGCGTCCCGACGCGCAGCCGGACGGCCGGCCGGACGGCGGTCGGACGCTTGAGCCCGCCTGGCCTGGGGCGCGCGGCGGGCCATTTCGACGGGCATTTACACACGGAAGCGAACGCGGCCACGCGGCCCGAGAACGGACGCACAACGCCAATCGACTGAAAGTAGCGGAGGTTCTCTGAAAGGAGCCCCATGGAGACGCCGAGCCCCGTAAAACGTAACAGAATTTCGGACATTCGCTCGGTCGCTGTCAAGGAACGTAGCGGTTACAATTTTCTGGCCTGCTCGTTTTCAATTATTCGTTTCTTTAACCGGTCAAAATAAGTCACTTCCAGAGAATGAGTCCTCAACGAAACGAAAATCAAACCTCCTTTTAAAACTTTTAATTCATTTTGTTGTGAAGAGTAGCAAATCATGGCAAATTTTAATGCCCAGTCATTTTCCTTTTCGGTTGAGAAAGTCGTTTACGAGAAAACCAATAAATCCCAGCCAAAACGAACTGGACCTGGACCGAACACAAAGTCGCAGGGTGAGTCCTGTCCAGCGCCAGCCCCGGCCTGTCCCGTCTCAGAGTCCGCGCCGCGCCGGCCGCGCTGCCCCGCGCTTGCTGCGCTATGCAGTGCTGTAGGCGGTGAAAGTGGAAGTGAAGTGACGATTCCTTAACGGCAGGCTACACCCGTAAAACACCGAACCGACCGATATGCCCAGCGGAATGCCGAGGCAACAACAGCTGACCCTCCCCTCCGCTCCGAGGTACAGTCCGTCGGCAAAGCATCGCACGCAGACCCGGAAAACGGAGGTTTCAGTCGAATCGTCGCGGCGGTCGCGGCGGGCGGACTGTTTGCCGTTTCCATTTCCCCGCGCGCCTTCATTAGAGCACTGCCGCCGGCGCGGTGCGGCGCGGTGTCGTCCGCCGCGCTCCCCGCGTCACGCAGAACACGCGGAACAGACTGTCGTGTCCGGCGGCGTTACGTCGCAACGGAACGGACGGAGCACCGCGCTGGGCGCATTCCGATTTCCAGCAGTTCCTCCAGGGGCGTGGCCGGCGTGGCAGTGCCGGCGTGGCAGTGCCGGCGTGGCAGTGCCGGTCCAGCTGCAGCAGTGCGGCCGCCGCATCCTCGTCGTCTCCTCTTCCTCGCACACCGACGGGACGGCCCCATGCCAGTGTTCTGGGGGCCGTACAGTGCGCACTGCGGCCACAACGGATGAAAGTCCTCGGTCCGTTTACGAGTGTCGTCGCCACGTAACTGCCGCGGTGTTCCAGTGTTGGGCCGGCCGGTGCGCTACTCGCTGCTGGCCACTGCACTGTTTGCTCCGCGGCCTCCGCGGCGTCCCTTTCCCCGGCATCATCGCCGCGGCGCATTAAAAACAGATTGAACGAGACTTGCCGCAGCCGGCGCGTCCGCTCCGCTCGCGCGTCCGGGTCCGAGGGGTCCGAGACAGTCGGACTCGTCTCGCGTAGGTAAACACGGCCGAAAACGAAACCCGTCCCTCGCGCGCCGTCCCGCCGTCCGGCCGTCGGGCACCTGTCGCGGCCCGGCCGTCGCCTGGGTCGTTCGGCGGCGAGGGCCGGCCGGGCAGGGCAGGGTCAGCGTCGCCTGCCGTCCGCACGGGTGAAAGGAGCGGAAAGGAGACGGGAAGAGAAACGGAGACATCGTCATATGTTTTCAATGGAGTAGCCGGTGCCGATCCCCGGCGCATCGCCCGGCCGCTCCTCGGCTTCGATCTTCAATTCCAGGATCAAGTCGTGCTGCCGCCTGCTTCCGAAAGATCGTTTCGTAGCTCTGTCTCTCTCGCACTCTAACGGGACGCCCCAGGGGTGCGACAGAGAGACAGAAGCGTCTGTGACGTCCTGCTTGGACCGCGGCCAATTGGAGGCGCATCGGCTGGCTCCGGCGTCGAGGTCCCCGTCGGCCGAAACCGAAACCACAGCGCGCGGCTCGGCGCGGCCGGACAGCCAGGGGGTGTGCCCCTGCCGCCTACCGCAATTAAATCGGGTAACAATCTGTACGGCTCGTTGCTTTACGGGCCTTCGGGGAACCATCGGGCTGGCCTGCGAGCCGCCCCGCCCCGCCCCGCCCCGCTCCAGACCAAGGCAGCGACCGCCGCGTGAATTGGCACGGCAGGGACGCCACTTCGCCACCTGGACAGCGCCGCGGCGCTTTCAAGAAGCCCAGATTTCGGGGACCTGTCTCCGGCAGGATCGCTCGGCCGCTCGTCCCGCTGGCCCGGCGGCGTGTCCTTCGTGACAGCCTTCTTGGCGAGCAGCGCGTCCGCGAGCCGCACCGCCGCGCCCCTCGAGCGGCCCGCAGCACGGCGCTGCCACGGCGCTGCCCTGCTTGGGCTGGACGCTGGACGCGGCGTTGCTGGACCTGTTCTGCTATAACTGTTCGCCTCATTTATGTCACCAGCAGCAGCAAGCGGCAGGCGGCGTCCACCGCTGCAAAGCAGAGCACTGCGGAGCACTGCAGGCGAACACGCGGCTCGCGCAGCAGGCCGTCGAAATATAGATCACGGCGGCAACGGCACCGGCAGTGGCTCCGACCGGCCGGCCGGGCCACACACTGCAACGGCCTGACTAGCCGCCACAAAGCATGCAAACTGGGGTTCTCTCGACTAGGGCACGCGAAAATAAAAAGAAACATGCAAGACAGCAAGTCACCGGCTGGTTCATTAAAATTTTACTAGGACGACGATTGCAATAAAACGGGTCTAACCTTTCCCGACAATTAGCCAGCCATTACAGTATGCAGACAAGCATTTCCATTTGCGACGGGAAAGAAAGAAAGAAAATTGCAGCGCGCTGTGCTCCATGCTCCACTACGTCTGCGGCATGACGCCATCCTGGTTCGGCACAAGGTCCCCCTCGCCACCTGCAGGGCCTGCAGGGCCTCCAGGGCCGCGCCGAGGATGAGCAGGCGAGGCGAGCCAAGAGGCGAACGAGGCCCGTTCCGCGCTCAACCGCACCGCGATGACGTTCGCAACGCCCCGAGTCGGCGGCGCGGCGGCGCTCCGAAGACGGAGAAGGAGACGCTCGTCTTCGTCTCCGCCAACGGTACGTGGCACAGGGCCCGGGGGGGGGGGGGGGGGGGGGCTGCCCCACTTGACTCGGGTAATGCCGCGCCACGCGACCACATCACTCAAGTC